AATTTTGATATTTGATCCCAATCAACCAATAGAATGAACCCATACAACCATATAGGTATCACAAAATGGTTTCTAACTTGTTCAGTTGCGGAGAAAGAGACGATTTTCAACAGGTAACTTTTCAAAGTTTTTGGTCCATAAAAGTGTTAATTATTATTCGATTTTCTTAAAATTTTCACCGTGTGATACCTAATGCCATTTACAATTTCATACAAGTAATCTAACACTTTTACTGTCACCGGAAGTAATGTCATTTTGGCAAAAACTGTATTTTTAGCCTTCAAATGAGTCTAATTTGTAATGTTTTTAAAATTATGATATTTGATTCCAATCAACAAATAGATTTAACTTAATGCCGCACACTTCTAATATTAAGTTGACAAATAGACAGATTATCATGATTTTGAATGTTAAATGGACCTGGATAAGAGTGAATACCTTGAGTCAAGAGAAGGTAGTATAATGATATTAAAGGGACAATAACACTCTTGCTGGCTTGAAAGCCCCAGAAAATAAATAAACTCTCTATCTAAGTACTAGATGTTTAAGTTTCCTACCTGTTGTGTAAATTATCCATTACATCTTATTTTACTTGTTCAGAGGGTTCGAAAATATTTTTAAATCGAAGTTTCATTTGAAAAGGTTTACGTTAGACGTTTCAAACCATTATGTTGAATTTTTCAAAATTTTTAAATAAGGTGTGTTAAGATGAAATTTGTATCATCAATTAATTGAAATATTGTAAAATAGTACAATTTGTTGACCAGAATAAAGATTGGGACATATTATTCAGTCACAACAAGAGTGGTATTGAGCCTTTAAAGCACTATAGTCCACGTGACAGGCAGATATTCATTACCAATTTGATGAATTGGTTTAACTATGGTTTTCAGTTAGCCTTAGGTCTAAAGTGTCCAAAATTGGTTGATGGACTTCCAGGTCACTTTGCAAAATGTCAGTTTGGCAGCCATCTTTAAAAATGCCCCTGTTTTTTTTTTTTTTTAAGTAGTGCGAGTCGGGGGAGCCTTCATAACTCCTCAACAGTTCCACCTATGAATATGTAATATAATTCAAAATGTTCATAATATAATTCTGCATCTGCTGGTATATGATATATGGTGTTTAATCAATACTATCAGTTTTAAAATAAAAGATTAATCTGAAAAAAAAGCAGCATTTTCGATTTTCTTCATGTCTGTTCATAAGTTTACTAACAATCGTGTTCAGACCCATATAAGCCAAATTATCTATTTGGTCAACTAAAGTGATTTAATAGATATCAGAAACATTAATCATAAAAAAATAATCTCTAATATGAGTGTTCCAAATCCAAGATGGCGGAAATTCACAATGGCAATCAAATTACCTAAAATGGCCAATTTGTCAGATAATAGTCATTTCATTGTTTGATATGACATGTACTATCAAATTGAAAGGGTGCTCAATGATACTGAACTTACAATTAAAGATACATTATGTAAGATTTAGATAAAGAGCTAGCCATTCTTGAAACAATAGTTCGAAAATAGATAATGTAAAATGAATAATTTGAAAATTTCATTCAAATTACTGTATTGAGAGCGAAAATATTAGCCTTTGAAGGTTTGAAAAGACGTGTGCAAAAATTTCAACCACCGTACTGGTTGTTTGAAGCTAAGTCTCGCTCCTCCACTTTTAGATGAAATCAAAATATGGCTGAACCATTCTAATCTATTTAATATTGGATAAATCTGATGCCATCGAGAGTTGATTATGGCCTAGATCTGTTAATTAATGTCCAATTAATACTTTTGAAAATATTTCAGGCCTAAAGAAAGACCTCCATTAGGCAGATTTAGCGCTTTTATAATGTATGTCTAATCTAAACAAAAAGTTTGAAAAACCCAAGTTGATGAAAATTCGGCCAGAATTTCCGTAAAATGAATGATGTTTTTAGAAAATCATTAATTTTCTGTTTTGTATAGCTTATAATGTCACTTTTATAAGGTTTTCAGAGTCACTGAACTTGAATAAAAACTAAAAAATGAATGCTGAAAATGATGTTAATGATAATGCTAAAAATGACACCTCTTATCCCCCCTCCCCATCCACCCCCACCCCATAAACAATACAATGGGGCTTGAAATTTCTTTTGAAAAAAACTGACTGTAAATGGTGCTTTCTAGAGTATATACTGGTGTTTTTAGCTTATGCATATATCTTAATAATTCATCAAAAACGACGTAAATTCATGACTACGCAAGAACATTAACAAGTTTAGGGACCCCCAAAACTATCATACTCGTTTTGTGTATCCATCCCTGAAAAGGGAGGCGAAAGACATGATGTTAAAACGGGTTTCAAATTCCAGCATTACTTGAATACTTTAATTATCTGTGAAAAATACGCCATATAAAATGATAATTCGTATATTATTTTACAGTTATATAAAAAAAATGTTTCCTTTTTATCCAATGAACAATTTATTGTTAGGTTATGGCGTTTAAACGTGTTGCAAATTTCCATATTACATGGTAGACTTCAACTTAATTATCATATAAACAATTGGTATTTATTTTGCAAGTATAAAACATGTTACCGTTTTATGTAATGAACAATGTATTGTTAATTTGCGTAGCTGTACAGGGAGTACCACTGGACGTATGTATTTATGCCAAATGAATAACTTAAGAAGACCACACAATTATTTGGCTAAAATTGCTCTGAACATGATTTGGTAGTAAACTTATAAAATAAATCATGAAAACTGGGAAAAAAAATGCCAAAACGTTGCTTTTTCCAGAATAATCTGTTGATTTGGAAAACATATGATTCATTCAACAACGAGTATCATACAGCAGCAGATGTAGTTATGAAGGTTTCCCCGATGCGCTCAATTTCAATGAAATAACACCGGCCATCTTTAAATTTAGCAAAGTGGCCCGGAAGTCCATCAAATAAGCGTAATAAAATATTCTAGAAACTTTGAAATATGAATATTATAATAGTATTTAGTGATTTTTGAGCTGTCATATAGCAATTAGCTAGGTATAAATTTGTTTAACATAATGTAGGATATTTAAATTACACACAGTGTTTGAGTTTAAAATACAAAGTATGACCCTCACTTTAATGGAACTAATATTTAATAGAAGACAACTATAAAAAGATATCAAAACACTCATAGGAAAATAATATAGTTAGATGATGTGTAAAATAACTACAATTACCCCAAAATAGTAACATTTATACATATATACATTAGTATGAACATAAGATAAATACATTTATACAGCGTGAACACTGGTGTAGCGGTAAGGTTATATCAAAGTTTAAAAGTAAACTTTCTAGAATGAATATAAAATCTAGATGATAACAAATAAGTTAATTGATAACCTTCACAATTAATGGCACATGTCTTTTTGACTTGATTGTTGTGTGTTGTGCAGTCTTCCTACACTTACTAGTTGAACCATAGTCGAAAATAAGTTAGAAAACTCATCGTTATGAATTTTCAATAAGATGCAACGTAACATTTAAAACATTGCCAATACTAAAGCTGTAAGTTAAAACACAATTCTGTTAAACCGGATATGAATTTATTCGATAACTATTCATTTACCATACGTATTGAAGCCTAAGTAAATTATTTTTCCGCTGTTTGATTGCAGAGTCTGTTGTACGTTTAAATCACTCAATGTTTCCCAAACCACTTAACTATTCGATTAAGAAATAATAACTGCTTCCTAAGTCAATCTGGCAGACAATAAGCGGTCGGGCTGACAGTAAGTAATACCCTGACGTCTTTGCCCAGTGCCTGCCCCATCCAGTATTTTTCTAGTAAGATTGGGTGTCCCTACTTTTCATTTATAAGTTGTGGCTTGCGACTCTGTCTACCACTAGCTCCGCGGACCGTAAGGGGTGTGCCTGTCCCCCCCCCCCCAGCTCACGACTCTGGCTACGGGTCTCTCAACGGACCACAGCTCAGGATTCTGACTACAGGCCTGTCAACAGACAGACGGACGTGGATGATACTATAATACGTCATACTGAAATGTTGGCGTATAATAAAGATTAAATCATATGAAGTTTGTCCCAAAATAACATAAGATCCATTCAATTCAATTTATGTTTTTGACCCAATGGGTTTAGCTCACTTAAAACCAGATGTCCTTAATACGGGATGTGGGGGGGTGGATGTCCGAATGGTTAGCACGTGCGCGCTGCGCTGTATCATACGGTCTGTCATTGAGTCAACTAGCAGGGTTTTGATTCCCCGGTTGTACATGACAAGGAGTAGGGTCGCCTGTCCAACCTCGTGGGTTTTCCCCGGGTCCTCCGGTTTCCTCCCACTGCTAAAGACCCCTATGCGCAAGCGAATTATTGAAATAAAATTGAACCATGTGTTAGTCCCGAAATGACCTAGTTTGTGTCGAGTGCACATGCACGCTGTATCATAAGGTCTGTCATTGAGTCAACCGGCATGGTTTCGAATCCGCGGTTGTACGTGACAAGGAGTAGGGTCACCTGTCCAACCTCATGGGTTTTCTCCGGGTCCTCCGTTTTCCTTCCACTGCTAAAGACCCCAACGCGCAAGCGAATTATTGAAATGAAATTGAACCATGTGTTAGTCCCGAAATGACCTAGTTTGTGTCGAGTGCACATGCGCGCTGTATCATAAGGTCTGTCATTGAGTCCACTGGCGTGGTTTCGAATCCCCGGTTGTACGTGACAAAGAGTAGGGTCACCTGTCCAACTTCGTGGGTTTTCTCCGGGTACTCCGGTTTCCTCCCACTGTTAAAGACCCCTACGCGCAAGCGAATTATTGAAATAAAACTAAACCATATGTTATTCCTGAATTGACCCCTCTCTCTCTCTTTCATAGATTGTTGGTTCCATTCTGGACGGATGTAGCCTTCAAAGTTTTAATATATGTCCAACATTTGAAGAAATAATAAAATAGATCCCTATAATAAGTGAAATTATACTAATTATTATTTATTGTCTACCATCTATTTCAGGGGCTTGTTAAATTAGATCCCTCATCATCAAAAGTTCTAGATTTATCTGAGTATTTAATAGTACAAGGTTTGTTTATATTATTATTATATAACTTCAATGCTATGATATGATATGATATGAAAAGGTGTTTAACGCCCTACTGTTCTGCTACGAACTGGGCTAATAAAGACAGGCATACGCCATACCGTGTGGTATGAGGAAAATTTTGCCCGAATTCCAACTGTCAAGGGATCTTTTACGTGCATGCCAATATGTACAAGGGACCTTGATCTTTCGTACCATCCGAACGACTAGACACGCTGGAAAATCTGGATGAACTTTCTCGGCAGGGATTGAACACCCGACCTCCAGGCTAGCGAGCCAGCGCCTTCTCGCTTAGCCACCGTGATCCGCCTAATATGTACAAGGGACCTTGATCTTTCGTCCCATCCGAACGACTAGACACGCTGGAAAATCTGGATGAACTTTCTCGGCCAACGCAGGGATTGAACACCCGACCTCCAGGCTAGCGAGCCAGCGCCTTCCCCGCTTAGCCACCGTGATCCGCCTAACTTCAATGGTTTGTCCACGAAAACTTAAAGCTGTTGATTTAACAATATTGTGAAAGGAATATAGTCAAAACTGAATCTCTAAAAGGAATATAGTCAAAAACTGAATCTTTAAAAGGAATATAGTCAAAAACTGAATCTCGTAAAGGAATATAGTCAAAAACTGAATCTTTTAAAGGAATATAGTCAAAGACTGAATCTCTAAAAGTCAAAAAGGAATCTTTTAAAGGAATATAGTCAAAAACTGAATCTTTAAAAGGAATATAGTCCAAAACTGAATCTCTTAAAGGAATATAGTCAAAAACTGAATCGCTTAAAGGAATATAGTCCAAAACTGAATCTCTAAAAGGAATATAGTCAAAAACTGCTCAATGTGTTCAGTTATTACAGAGATGTGATAAATTAAAGATTTGGCAACATTATAGCAGAAGATATCCAGGGCGGATCTAGTGGAGTTAGCAGATGGCGCACGCCCCCCCCCCCCATCTGAATCCAGGTGGTCTACTTTAGAAACAGATTCTTGTCTCAAATCACTGAAAATGGCATTTTTCGGCTTTTAGTTTTTGAAAGTTTCTGAGGGAGGCCACCTGGGTGCCTGTGCTCCCCCCCACCATTCATGGTCTCTGGATCCGCCTTTGGATATAAACAAACCAGTGCCACATATGATTTTTGGGTAAAATGGATGTGGAATAACTTTGTCTCAATCTTTGGCTCAAGGTTTCTCATATATCCTTTTATTAATGACCGTTTTTGTTTTAAAAGACTAGAATTTTACCTTATGCCTTTTTTAAAATTCAGCCCCCCCCCTCCCTCCAATTGACTTGTCCCGGGTCCCTCCACAAGGTTAATCTGGCCCTGATTAACCGTAAGTATAAAACATTTAAAAATTTACAGAGAATTGAGATTTTAATACTGAAAAATGTCATTCTTTGTAAAGAAACTATTTTGTTAATCTACCTGAAAGAAAATACATTAAAAATTGATAATGTAATTGAAATTATTTTTTTGTAGATCCACCTGAGATAGATTATTTAACGTCCATTTTGTTTTGTATGATGGATTATTCAATATGGCAGAATGATGTAAAAACCTGGACATATTTTACTAATCACATTCTTCAAGTTTTTATAAAGTAAGTAAACATTGTATGTCTAATAAATTATAAAAAAAAACCCAGGGGATTAGGTGGTCTACTGGTCTGTCATTGAGTCAAATGGCGTGGTTTCAATTCCCCACATGTGCGTGACAAGGAGTAGGGACACCAGTCCAACCTAGTGGGTTTTCTCCGGTGTCCTCTCACTCCTACCCCAAAACGCAAACAAATAATTGAAATAAAATTGAACTATATGTTAGTCCCAAAATTTGTGTGGAGTGGACGTTAAACCCCATCTCTCTCCACGGGAATACTCTTTCTGAATTACACATTTTAACAGATATTCCAGATGGCGGTGAAATAAGAAAATTATAAACTTTTTTTATATGAAAATTATGATCCATTTCGGCCTGAATGTACCTCTAATGTACACAAGAAAGTCATGGTGGTGTGATAAACTTCATTCAAATCCCTCTACTTACAACCTTTGAATAAACATTTGGATCACTTCCACCTTTTTTTTTTTTGCTAGGGGTTGGTAAAAATTAAAGGTTTTTCGATATTTTCGTAGTTATCACTATAATGTTTTATTTTTTCTGTATTATTCTTTCAGTTATCCAGATAATGTCAAGTTTTTGCGAAAACAATGGAAAAATAGAGATGATATTTGGCCTGATTTTCATTTTCATATAAAAAGTGTGGATCCGAGATGGACATCACAGAATCTTTTAGAACAGAAAGCACTATGTTGTGCTTTGTTCAATAATATAGGTATGACTTGAATTCACTGATCTTGTTCAGCACAATAATTTGTTGTATTTAGAGAAATGAAATGGGGTTTAACAACTAAGGTAATAAAGATAAGCATTTTGCCATGCAGTGTGCATTGAGGAAAATTTTGTCCTCAAGAGTTTGTCTGTGACCTATTATTTCTGGTACAACCTTGAGGAGATCTTTAACATGCTTCCATTAGTGTAATGATAGGTGTGTAATGTGAAGTAGGAGAATTTTTCCCTATCAGCAACGTCTTATCAATTTCATTAATTTGTGTAAACATCAACGTGGATCTTGGTTTTTTGTCCCATCTAATCAACTAGACACACTTTGTCTTACCCCTGACAAGTTAAGGTCGTGCTTGGTAAACTCCTGAAGGTGCTTCTTGATCCAGTGCCCTAATCTTCCCCCTCCTCTTGTCTTTGAGTATATGTATGATTAATATGAGATTTATTTTTGTCATTTTCAGATAATGAATATACAACAGCAGCCAAACAATATTTACAACCTGATTATTGGCTTAAAATACAAAATACACTTGATAAATGTCTAAATACTTGATATGACATCAATAAGGTTGTTTTTTTTAAAGCTGATACATATCTCATTAAATGACATGGGTCAGACTTGTATACAGTTAATATGTGTGAGTGACATCACATGTAGAAGGCATACTTGAACTTATAAAGGTCAGTTATCTTATACAGAGGTATAAGAACAGAAGGTGAAACAGATTGCTCAAGTATATCTGTGGTATTGTTGTTGTACATTGTCCTATGTGTTACACATGAAGGATTGTCTTTAATGTTCCTGGTAGAGACACATCATCTTAAAATTTAGTTCTGTGGGATCAATGATGAAAGTTCCACTACATATGACTCCCTTTCCCGCGAAAGGCTTCTAATTGAATAAACAAAATATTTCAGGCAACAACTGACCATCTTGACCATAGCTGGAACAAATTCTATTCATACCAAATTTGTATTGTGACTGACAGAACTGTGACGGGACTCAATTCGATGTCACATGAATGTAATCCAATCAATTCAGACATTCAAGTACCCCTTCGTCTGTAGTGGTTACGGTAAATATCCGTAATTAAAAAGAAACAATCAACACGAATTTGAATATTGAGTTTTTTTTTGTGTATTTATTAAGATTAAAGACATGGTTAATGGAGTTGGTTTATTTATCTTGATGTAGCCATAATAGCAGCAACACCTGAAAAATAAAAACAATTATTTATTAAATATACATTATGGGAGATTAGATAACGAATTGGCAGTTCTCTCTATAATAGTTAAAAGCTAGATCATGTAAAGGCAATTTGCTGAAAATTTCACTCAAATTGATCCACTATGAACCAAAATCTTAGCGATTGAATTTTTGGCCTAGCCTCGATCATCATTACTAAAGTCGGTAGGATTAAAAAAACATAGTCTCGATTATCCATTTCATGATTTAATTATGATTGGAAGTCGAACAGCAAATCTGAACCTAATCCAATAAACATTGCAGGCTAGCGATGCAATCTAGAGTTGATTATGGTCTGGATAAGTTAATTAATGTCCAATTAATAATGTATGTTTAAATATTTATCAATCCATGTTGAAATACACGAAAATCTGCCAAAATGAAGTTAAATGCCTTTTCATAAAATATAAGTGATTTTGATTTTGTACAGTCTTAAACTGTATTATTAATTATTCTAGCATGTTGATGATTTAAAGACACCAAGTTTCATCAGCCAAAATGAATAACACTTTTCACAATTATATGTAATACAAGTTACTTGAAAGATTTATTTCTGGCAAGGTTTCGAAGAGGGTTCTCTTGTCTTTATCAAGCAAAGAACAAGCGTTGAAATGTCAGCAGGAATAAATCTTTCAAGTAACTTGTATTCCAATCTAATTAAAACATACATCCTATTTCTTTTACTACACTAGGATCTGGAAGAGTTGTTATCATTGACATGTTCTGGATGATGTGATGGATTAGCCAATGAAAACGGTCTGTTACGACAAGCTTTTGGCGCGAGGTGCACGGAACTGTGGGTAACCCACTAGAGACATCAATACTGATTGGTTAATCAAATGTCTGATGTCATAGGGTCAAAAGCCGCCAGTTTAACCTCTGACGCGAACTCCCAAAACAACTGATCAGATCTTCTTGTAGTGTAGGCCATCAAAAGTAAAAAAAAACTTTCATATGATTGTGTCATGTGTTATTCTAGCCCAGTTACCAAATGTTGTAGTACTACCGGACTTCTTTATTTGTTGTGTTCCTTGTGATCTTAAATAAATCTACAGCAACAATGATTTCACAGCTTTATTAGTAAACTGGAAATAACTTTGCAGGTTCCTCGTTCTCAAATATATAATGACTGGTAAGAATTTCTGGGTGAGCTCTAATCTAGCTCTCCTCTACACCCTAATTTATACCCCCTACTTTCCCAGGTCTTCAATAACCTTGACGTGAATTTCCACGCCATATAAGGAATAAAACTCTATATTTCCCACAAACAAGACAGGCAACATTACCTATTTTTGGTCAACCGACCATTGGTCAATAAACAGCTAGAATTTGCTGACTATTTTGACAATGATTATAATTTAACTAAAACATCACTGTTTTTTACGAACAACTAATACCACGTTCATTTAGTACTTATGATTTGACTTTATAGACCAAATTGAGGAGACAATTTTATAAAGAGCCAAAATTGTCTCAAGGGCCATAGTGCTACAATGTCACTGAAACAGTTTAGCCAAAATGAAGATTTAATCATGGCGTGTTTTTTTTTCTCTCATCAACTTAATTCAACAGTTATAAAGGGACTTCAAAATATAACTGCCACTGAAGCAAACACTATACTTACTGTCAAACGTGATTTTTTCCCGAATATTTTTAGTTTTAATATTGTCATCTTGGGCGTTCACAAATACAACACCATTAGCCTGTACTGACCAGCCATATTTAGATATCCATTGGTTAATTTGTAAATCTGTTGAAACAACGAATAAACGAATTATACATAAATTATATTCCCAGGGTGGTTGGATGGCCAATGATTTGGGTTATCTCCCAGTTCTCAAATTATTAAAATATATATATAGAGAAAGAGATGGGGTTTAACGTCCACTCGACACAAACTAGGTCATTTCGGGATAACATGTGGTTCAATTTTATTTTAATAATTCACTTGTGCGTAGAGGGTCTATAGCAGTGGGAGGAAACGGGAGGACCTGGAGAAAACCCACGAGGTTGGACAGATGACCCTACTCCTTGTCACGTACAAGCAAGCAATCAAAATGCCATTTGACAGACCTTATGACCTTAATTTCACTCGTGTTAAAACTATCGGCCAGAGAACCACCCCCTTATTGAAATATGAAATGAAATGGGATTTAACATCCTACTTTTCTGCTCTGACTGGACTAATGAAGGTGGGCATATTGACACAAACTAGGTCCTTTTGGGAGTAACATATAGTTTAATTTTATTTCAATAATTCGCTTGCGCGCACGGGTCTTTAGCAGTTGGAGGACCCGGAGAAAACCCACGAGGTTGGACAGGCAACCCTACTCCTTGTGACATAAGGATTTGAAACCATGCCAGTTGGCTCAATGACAGGCCTTATGATACAGCATGCATGTGCTAACCATTCGGCCATCCAACCCCCCTTCATGTAAAAGACGACTAGAAATCCGCTAAAAATAGGCAAAAATGCTGCTGTCGAAACAACATTTTCGTATCTCGCATAACAAACAAAATATTTAAAAGATAAAACAAAAGTAGAACATACCATTTATACCACCGAGTACTTCCTGTAAATATGATTTCTCTACAGTTTGAAACGTAGCTGATACAACATGACATATAACTGGAATATAAACAATAATAATATAACGACCATCAATCGCCGTGCAAGGAACAAAGCATTCCAAGTTTCATGTTGATTGTACTTGAACTAGCGGAGTATTCGTCTTTCTTTGAGGAGTGTCTCACGAATAAGTGTTTGACAAGATGAGTAGCGCATGGGGCTATGTAAATTTTCAGCTTTAGGGTGCTGGAAAAAATAGACTCCTTCACCTATATTCAGGCGCTAATTGCCAAGAGCTATTTTGAGCAGCTTAAAAAAACAATGACATAACATGACTATACACGTATGTTGTCCCTTGCCAGGACCTCCGTCATTCACACACTGACTAGAAAATCCCAGGGAACTTTCTCAAGCAACACCAGGATAGAACCTCGGACCTACTGGTTAGTGGGACAGCACCGCTCCGAAGACAGATTGATGTCGTAATTCGGAATATTCAGAATCCGGATTACTCAAAAAAACTTTTTTGGTTGAAGTAATAAGGAAATAAATTGGGACATGAAAATGATTTCACAGAGTGCCGGATTATTCAGATGTTGGCAGTGACAAGAGTCCACTGTCGTTCAATTTTATTTCAATAATTCGCTTGCGCATAGGGGTCTTTGAGCAGTGGGAGATAATGATGAAGAACATTACAGTAATCTGGAGATACATTTATGTATACTTACATTTTCTTATTGAATCTTCAAATCCTAAAACACCTGATATTAAATCCTCTTCTTCTTTTACATAATCCTACATAAAAATAGTAAATAGTTTTAATTCTACATAAAAATAGCAAATAGTTTTAATTCTACATAAAAATAGCAAATAGTTTTAATTCTACATAAAAATAGAAAATAGCAAATAGTTATAATTCTACATAAAAATAGTAAATAGTTTTAATTCTACATAAAAATAGCAAATAGTTTTAATTCTACATAAAAATAGCAAATAGTTTTAATTCTACATAAAAATAGAAAATAGCAAATAGTTATAATTCTACATAAAAATAGTAAATAGTTTTAATTCTACATAAAAATAGAAAATAGTTATAATTCTACATAAAAATAGTAAAAAGTTATATTCTACATAAAAACAGTAAATAGCTATAATTCTACATAAAAATAGCAAATATTTTTAATTCTACATAAAAATAGCAAATAGTTTTAATTCTACATAAAATTAGAAAATAGCAAATAGTTTTAATTCTACATAAAAATAGCAAATAGTTATAATTCTATATAAAAATAGTTATAATTCTACATTCTTCATACACATCTTTCAATTTTATTTCAATAATTCGCCAAGACATTGGGGTCTTTAGCTGTGGGAGGAAATTGGAGAAAACCCACGACGTTGGACAGGCTACCATACTCCTTGTCACATACAAGCTAGGAATCGATACAATGCCATTTGATTCAATGACAGACCTTTTGATCCAAAGAGCATGTTTCAGGCCATACAGCCAGAAAGTTGGTCTCGACACGGCGAGAGAGAGAGAGAAATGGGGTTTAATGTCCACTCGACACAAACTAGGTCATTTCGGGACTAACATATGGTTTAATTTTACTTCAATAATTTGCTTCGCTCGTAGGGGTCTTTAGCAGTGGGAGGAAACCAGAGGACCCGGAGAAAACCCACGAGATTGGACAGGCGACCCTACTCCTTGTCACATACAACCGGGGATTTCGACACGGCGAATGTGCATGCTTCAGTTACGTGTCTCGAACTGATTTCTGGCTACCCCGCACTCCCTTTGAGTCTATAAATAGCCATGGCACGTGCAATTCTCTACAAATATATCAACTATTACAGCCGTAAAAAATTTACCGTTGACGATTTTGAATAGCAGTAAAATTCAGCTTCTTGGTTATCACAGCAGCTTTAGAAATTATGTTCGTTTTATTTTTGAAATTGCTTCATCATTAAGTGTACCGTTAAGAGCGGCATCTTTTACAAGTTTCTTAAAACAATTGTTGAGTTGGCTAACGTGAGTGTTTCTAAATTCAAATTTTTGTTCCAGCTTTCTGTTATGTTTCGTAAAAAGGTAGTCTTGATTATCCCGACCTGTCAATCAGACGTAGAATGGCCAATAGACTGGTTAAGCGAGACTAATTTCAAAACAAGGGCACATAACCTATCTTTTACCCAAAAGTGTCTGGATGTTATGGACGACACTTGGAACCAATTTTCAGTCTATTATTTATAGATGATTAAATGGTCATAGCTTATTAAGTACTACATGATCGTTTATTTAGTGACTATAATTGTGTGAAACTGATTTAAGGCTTGGTATGTATATAAATATTGTGGCGTAATTGTCGAGATATTTGGAGATATTTATTTATGGTGGGTCACCCTACCAAGTTGTTTAAGATAAAAAAAATCTCCTTCGTTATAATCAGTTAATAATTCTTGTGTGCCTCTTTTGCTTGTAAAATTTATATTCAAACCTGAGTTGTGGCATAACATATGGTTGTGCAGCAAAAACCTGAGGATAAAATTTAATTTAAAAAAAGAAAATTTAAATAAAATATTACCCAAAAATCTTTAAATTGACACATTTCCAACATATCTGCTATTTTTATAACTCCTTTAAGTTGCTCTTCTTCAAGCTGAGAGGTAGGTTAAAGAAAAATTGATATCATTTATTTCCCTTCATCTCCCACCGAACAAAACAACCCTTTTATTAGAAAATGTAACCGCTTGTGGTGCATAATTTACTGAAAAGCTAACCTTTTCTATTTTTGTTTTGGAGTCTTTTTTGAAGTCTCAAGGATTCAGACAAGGACATTCTAGATGAGAGTTAGATGCCCTGGTTAGATGCCCTGACTGTTTGACTACCACTAGTAAAGAGCACTAGTCAAATTGTGTTTTGTAATCTATATAGTTTAGGTTTATTGAAAAATCATTACTAATAATTATGAAATTATCAGAGGATATTACAATATTTACACTAGGCCTACTAAAAAAATCTAAAAGCATCACCCATAAAGAGAAAGAGAGAGAGAAATGGGGTTAACAGGAACTTGGTCATTTTGAGACTAAGATATGGTTCAGTTTTATTTCAATAATTCTCTTGTGCATATGGGTCGTTAGCAGTGGGAGAGAGAGGGAGGGAGGGAGAAATGGGGTTAACATCCACTAGACACAAACTAGGTCATTTGGGGACTAACATATAGTTCAGTTTTATTTCAATTATTCGCTTGCATGTTGGGGTCTTTAACAGTGGGAGAAAACCCACGAAGTTGGACAGGCGATTCTACTCCTTGTCACATACAACCGGAGAATCAAAACTGCACCAGTTGACTCAAATGACAGACCTTATGATACAACGAGCCCCCCACGCCCAAGATGATTGTGTGTTTTTGATTATGTAAAAGGATACTCTAGCTGTGTCTATTAAACATTTACACAGTATAAAATCTGTATGTGGTAAATTAGTTAAAGCTTTTAATAATATAAGTGATGTAATCTGTGTCTGGAAATACGTAGGATTAAACTGGTACCTGAAATATATAATATTCATAAATTCACAAAATTATACACAATATAAGTTACTTACAACCTTGTGAGGAAAAAAAATAATAAAAATTTAGAAAAAATGCATTCAAATACCAAATAATATTTCACTGAGAAAGTGAAAAACAACAAAAGCTAAAAACCCTAATTTTCGAGAATTTTTAATGTTTTTTGCCTACAGGTCCCCCTTAACTATGTCCACATGTTTCATGTATATAATTCCTTTTGTTTTTTGAGTTAGCTTATTTTAAATAAATTTAGCTTTTTTTTTTCATGTCAAATATTCAAAAATAGTACAGAAACAAAGAAACACATATTGTATAAAACATTCTTTCTGTAAATATTCAACACTGGAAATATTGCTGTTCCTTTATAAGTCTATACAGAGAGAGAGAGAGAGAGGGTTTAACCTCCACTCGAGACAAACTAGGTCCTTTTGGGACTAACATATGGTTCCATTTTATTTCAATAATTCGCTTGCATGTAGGGATCTTTAGCAGTGGTAGAAAACTGGAGGACCTGGAGAAAACCCACAAAGTTGGACAGGCGATCCCACTCCTTGTCACGTACAACCGTGGAATCAAAACCACAACAGTTGACTCAAAGAGAGAGAGAAATGGGGTTTAATGTCCACTCGACACAAACTAGGTCATTTTGGGACTAACATATGGTTCCATTTTATTTCAATAATTCGCTTGCGTGTAGGGGTCTTTAGCAGACCGGAGGACCTGGAGAAAACCCACAAAGTTGGACAGACGACCCTACTCCTTGTCACATACAACCGTGAAATCGAAACCACGCCAGTTGACTGAATGACCTTATGATACAGCGCGCACACGCTAACCATTCGGCCATCAACCCCCACCCCAGGTTTATACAGTGTGTGATCCATGTGTTGTACTCGATGAAGAACAGTAAATTTTATCTGCATGTTTTTTTCATAAAATTGTTTTCTTGTTTATTATATACTGATTAGACTTTTGTGTTTTGTCTTTCAACACGAGTCCGAAAAGTCGAGGACATATTTTTCTTAGTCCGAAAGGTCGTCAGTCCGAATGCCGCAGGACTGAAATGTCAATTAATCAACCCAGCATCCCCGAAAACTATTTAGAACAATTAAATAAAGGATAAAGAAAATTATTCTTACAATTTTAAGACAGCCAAGCTAGCTTCCAGATCATATGTGTTTTCTTTCACTTGCATTTCTACATATCTTTCTAGTGTGGCTAAATTCTCTGGGTTGTATCTGTAACGACAAAAATAAAATGTGTTAAAAATTATATAACTATATTGTGAACAAGTGTGGGAAACATTTGAGTCAAACCAATTAGTGGTGTAATAATTATCTCATGTCATATATTCACCTACCCACAGCATGTACTTTGTAAAGGTACATCAGGTAGGCCTAATAATAAGATTAAAACCAACAAAAACTATAATCATATAAAAATTGAATTTAAACAAAGATGCTTAGTAAATATAAAGTCAATCTAAATAGGGATACGCGATTGAGCGTTCCACAATTGAAATCCAAAAAAAAGTGACAATCAAGTGAAAATGGGGATTTCTGCTACAATGCATTCATCAACTACATAAGAAAATATCTCAACCAACCATGACAGCTGAAACATTTTCGTTGTATTAACGACGAAACGAAATTTAGGTAAGCTGGGGTGGACAAATTGGATTCTTTGAAAAGTTGAGAATCTTCAGTCATTTATTGCTTTGCCTAGCCCAATTACAATAAAAATTTTCAAAAATTTTGTTTCACTTGCTTACCTAAATTTCGTTTTGTCTTTGGCGGCCATCTTTAAAAAAAATGGCCGCCGTTTTTTTTCTTATTTGAAATAGTGCGAGTCGGGGAAGCCTTCATAACTCCTCAACAGTTTCACCTATATGGATATGTAATATATCTCAAAATGTTCATAATATAATTCTGCATCTGCTGGTATATGATATATGTTGTTTAATCAATACTATCAGTTTTAAAATAAAAGATTAATCTGAAAAAAGCAACATTTTCGATTTTTTTTTCATGTCTGTTCGTATGTTTACTAACAAATCGTGTTCAGACCCATATAAGCCAAATTATCTGTTTGGTCAACTTAAGTGATTGAATAGATATCAGAAACATTGATCATAAAAAATAATCTCAAATATGAGTGTCCCAGATCCAAGATGGCGGAAATTCAAAATGGCGACAAAATTTCCTAAAATGGCCAATATGTCAGATAATAGTCATTTCATTGTTTGATATGACATGTACTATCCAATGAGCTTACAATTAAAGATTCATTACGTAAGATTTAGATAAAGAGCTAGCCATTCTTGCTACAATAGTTCGAAAATAGATAATGTAAAATGAATAATTTGACAATTTCATTCAAATTACTCTATTGCGAGCGAAGATATTAGCCTTTGAAGGTTTGACAAGACACGTGCAATAATTTCAACAACTGTACTGGTTGCTCGAAGCTAAGTCTCGCTCCTCCATTTTTAGATTAAATCAAAATATGACTGATACGTTCTAATTTATTTAATATCGGAGAAATCCGATGCCATCGAGAGTTGATTATGGCCTGGGTCAGTTAATTAATGTCTAAATAATAATTTAGAAAACATTTCAGGCCTAAAGAAAGACCTGCAATGGGCAGATTTAGCTCTTGCACAATGTTTGTTTAATCTAAACAAAGAGTTTTAAAAATCCAAGATGGGGAAAATTCAAAATGGGGGTCAGAATTTCCATAACATGAATGACTGTTTTATATAGCTTATAATGTCTCTTTTATAAGGTTTTCAGAGTCACTGAACATGAATAAAAACTCAAAAATAATGCTGAAAATGATGTTAATGATACTGCTAAAAATGACACATCCTATGCGACCCCCCCCCCCCCCCTCCACACACACACACCCCATAAACAATACAATGGGGCATAATATGGAATTGATTATTTTGGATCTCACAGATCACAAGACATTTCACCAAAACAGTGAGTCATTTTAATTTCATCTACTATGCCTTTGCACCATTTTAAGCCATATTGAGAATTATTTATGATATATCCAGTAGTTAAGAATTTAAGATCTCTTATTCGTTCAGAAATGGTAATGTGGTCCGTTTTTACATTAACGCCTCTATGCCCGGCAACTTTTGTCGTATAGTCTAGTAGGCCTGCAACCAAAATTTTTAGCTTGCTTAGAAACACAGTTCTGCTACAAGGTCCTCCCTATTAAACAAACTATACATATTTGGAAAGCTTATAACACCAGGAACACAAATCCAATTAAAATGTTTTAAGGCCAGATGAAAATTGTGATAATTGTCAAGTTGACATAAAATTACACATATGATACCTAGGATAGGACAGGCTTATCTTTGCCCCGTGAGGTGAACGACAGGGTTCTCTACATCTACAACCAGACTCGAAATTTCTTTTGAAAAAACTGACTGTAATTTAAATGGTACTTTCTAGAGTATATCCTGGTGTTTTTAGCTTATGCATATATCTTAATAATTCATCAAAAGCGACATAAATTCATAACTACGCGAGAACATTGACTAGTTTAGGGACCCCGAAACTACCATACTCCTTTTGAGTGTCCATCCCTAAAAAGGGAGGCAAAAGATATGATGTTAAAACGATAATTCATATATTATTTTACAGTTATATATATAAAAAAAATGTCTCCTTTTTATCCAATGGACAATTTATTGTTAGTTCATGTAGAAAGATATGGTGCTTATAAACGTGTTGCAAATTTCCGTATTACATGGTAGACTTCAACGTATCATATACACAATAGGTATTTATTTTACAAGTATAAAAAATGTTTCCGTTTTATCGAATGAACAATTTATTGTTAATTCGCGTGGAAAGATATGATGTTAAACATGTTACAACTGGTATATTAGTCGAGTATTTTACATTTTACAGAAAGTTTACGTTTAATCGAAAATTCCAATAAACAATTTATTTTTAAGTTGAAGGGAGTGTCCTACAGGTGGTAGACCATATTAAATGCTGCTTGAATGTGTATTTTCATAAACTTTGTATGCATATAGATTATTATACTGAAACAGGTGTGTGAAACGGGTGTTCTAGAAAAAATGGGTTCACTAACATCAAATATCTGGTTCTACAAATTGTATTTGTCCCTTCTAGGCTAACACCTGTGCGGAACAAACCTTTCCGTTTCATCGAAAATTCCAATAAATAATTCAATTTTAAATTCAGTGGCTACGAAAACCCTATACATGATATATCACAAGCCCTACCTTGCATGATACTATAATAATAATAATAATAATAATAATAAAAACTTTATTTAATGAGGCAACGTATTTAGTTTGCAAAAAAACTAATCTTCCATAGGTCCCTCCTTAGCTACAAAGACATATATACATGTAATATCAGGATAAATTTAAAATCATTAGAAATGCAATAGCATTTTAAAGTGGGAAGTTTGATAAGTCACTCCCAAACTTCAAAACATATACATTATACAAGTAGAAAATAGGAAGAACACTATAATTACACACAAAATAAAATATACTATTCAAAAAAAGTAGGGGATATTTGATTTTTAAGTGTTATTAAAGTCACCTAATGAAACTGACGAAGAAACAAATGACAAAATGAAATGAAGTTCACATTCATCGATTTATTCCAAATGATCGTTAGACTAAGTAAGGCACAGACTGACAATTATAAGGGTAAAATGATACCCGGGGTCAAACAGCAAAGTTACCACAGCATCACAACCAAGTCAGTAACGGGTAAATCCTCCTCTGTTTGCCAAACAAGCATTGATCCGACGTGGCATACTCCTAATGAGACGTCTAAGGTCATTTTGGTCCAGATTGTCCCATTCCTGTTGCAACGCAGCAGCAAGTTCTTGGACATTGGCAGGACGTTGTTGACGTTGACGTAACCTCTGTCCAAGCATGTCCCAGACATGCTTGATGGGGGAGAGGTTGGGACCCAGTGCTGGCCAAGGTAATGTGGTGATGTTCTGTTGTTGGAGGTAACCTGTAACGATCCTGGCCCTGTGACATCTTGCGTTGTCATCCTGGAAGATGAAACGGCGGCCATGACGTCGTGCGAACGGCACAACATGGACTGCCAAGATGTTGTCCCGGTAGTACTGGCCTGTAACACGCCCTGCAACAACATGTAAAGCCGTTCTTCCAGCAACAGTGATGCCTCCCCACACCATAACAGAACCACCCCCAAATCGATCATGTCTGATGATGTTAACGTCTTGGAAGCGCTCGTTTCGACGACGCCACACCCTCCTACGTCTGTCCAAAAAATCAACAGTGAACCTTGACTCATCTGAAAACATCACATTGCTCCAGCGTCGATTATCCCAGTGTTGACGATCCCTACACCAACGACGTCTTGCCTGAATGTGATGATCTCTCAAACAAGGGATCACAAGAGGACGTCGGACGCGAAGGTGACCCCTATGCAGTCGATTCCGAATCGTCTGGCCACTCACTCTCACACCAGTGTCTGTTTGAAGACGAGCGCTGATCTGATTTGCTGTGATGACACGATTTCTCAAGGCCAAGGTACGGATTAATCGATCCTGGGCTTGAGTTGTCGCCCTTGGTCGACCTGAGCGTGGTCTGTCCTGTACAGATTGTGTATCACGGTATCTGGATCATAGCCTGCTTATGACAGACTGAGAAACATTCATCGTCCGCGCCACAACCGCCTGTGTTGTGCCGATCTGTAGCATGCCAAGGGCACGTAACCTTTCATTTTGGGTAAGCCGACGCATATCAAAATTTGTTTTCTGGTCACTAAAACAATTAAACTGATGTTTCCACCCTGGAATTCAATGCCACAATGACTGTAACATTCAAAGTCAGAGTCGTGCAAATCTTGGGTTGGACCCCCATGATGATCCCAAGCATCACCTGCATTCCATGCGGTAGCTATTGGTGCGTTTGGGCGTCACATGTAACTGGAAATGTTTCTTCTGTTAGGTTCTATAGTGACTTTTTTCGTAGTCATTTGCATATTTTAGTATTATGCCCCCAAAATCAAATATCCCCTACTTTTTTTGAATAGTATAGAATGCAGTTGCAAGTTAAAAATAATAAGTATGTCATCAGTTGAATATTATGGTTCCTTCAGTGTGCAAAATAAATGACTTTTCAGTTTAATCTTAAAATTTTCAACATTTTTACACATCTTTATATCAAAAGGCAGATTGTTCCATAAAAGACATGCAGAATAATGAAAAGTACGTTTCATGGATTCCGTTTTGCAATTTTGAAGAAAAAGAGATTTACTGGTCTGTGAACGGAGCAAGATATCCGTTTTGGACACAAGAGATTTTTCAATAAAATAGAAATTTAGATAAAGTGGAGTATTAAATGTAATAATTTTGAATGCTAAGACAATTTTATTGTAAAGAATCCTCTGTGTAAGGGTAAGCCAACCCAGTATAGTAAATAAAGAGGTGGACGGAGTTTCAATCGGTGCATCAAGAATAGTTCTTGCTGCCCTCTTTTGTAATTTTAAAAGAATGTCTAATCTACTTTTGGTAGCATTTCCCCAAATAATAGAGCAATAATCAAATATTGGTAGTATGTAACTGTTATAAAACAAAATTCCTGTCTCGTAAGGTAAATGATCTTTTATCTTATTTAGGAGAAATATTTTTGATGCAAGTTTTTTAGACATATCTGCTATCTGTGCTTCCCAATTAAGGTCTTGGTCAATTTGAATTCCAAGTAATTTTGTGGTAGTAACCGTCTCAATTTTCTCACCATGGAGTGATAAAGTTAGGTTTTTCTGATTTCTTTTGTGTTTTGATGAAATCAGCATTGATTTTGTTTTCGAAGGATTGATTACCATCCCATTGTTTTCACACAATTTAGCAACCAAATAGAGATAATTTTGTAGATTATTGGCGATGGATTAAATATCTTTGTGTGAACAATGCAGGGTACTGTCATCAACAAACAAATCTATCTGACTTGATTCAATATTGAGTGGGAAATCATTTATAAAAATAAGGAATAGGAGAGGACCCACGATCGACCCTTGTGGAACCCCGCGTTTGACTGTAGTAATTGAGGAGGTAATTGATCCTAAACATACTTTTTGCTTCCGTGAGTCAAGATATGATTCAATCAAAATTTGTGAATTATTATGAAATCGATAAAGATGTAGTTTTTCAATAATAAGCTTATGATCAATGAGATCAAATGCTTTGCTAAAATCAAGATACACTATACCACTCATCGCACCATTATCGATAGCATCAAGCCAATTATCTGTCATTCGGATTGGTGCAGTAGCACATGAATGATTTGATCTAAATCCAGATTGGTAAGCATAAAGAACATTGAAGGTTTCCAAATAAGTTTGAATTTGAGTGCTCAAGTGCCTTTCGAATATCTTTGAAATTGTGGGGAGAATTGAGATTGGCCTATAATTGTTCGGATCATTTTTAGCTCCCTTGCGGTCATTTTGGACATCGGACAGAACCCCAACCGAAAATGACGTCACAGAAGTGACATAATCTCAAAATTGTCTTTAGGGACAAATTTTGACACAGAAACAACCCGTCCCCAAATATCGTTTCGATTGTGACACACTAGCTAAAAGTTCACTAAGTTTGTGCCCTGCCTCGCCGACGTTCAACATTTTAAATTTGACAGTCTACTTATGACTTTTGTTGAGTTTGCGGCCACCGCAGCTGTATAGGGAGAACCACTGGGCGTATTTATTTATGCTAATTGAATAACTTAAGAGGACCACACACATAATTTGGCTAAAATTACTCTGAACAGGATTTGGTAGTAAACTTATAAAATAAATCATGAAAACCTGGGAAAATAAAAATGCCAAAAGGTTGCTTTTTCCAGAATAATCTGTTGATTTGGAAAATATATGATTCATTCAACAACAAGTATCATATAGCACCAGAAGAAGCATTTTCTTGTGAACATTGTGAGCCACATTCCATATCCATAGGTCGATCTTTTCAGGAGTTACGAAGGTTTCCCCGATGTGCTCAATTTCAATGAAATAACGGCGGCCATCTTTAAAGATGGCCGCCAAAATGCAATTTAGCAAAGTAACCCGGAAGTCCATCAACCAAATTTCAACACTTCAGCCACCAGGCTAACTGAAAATCATGGTTGAATTTATTCATCAAATTGGTAATGATGTGACAGGCAGATATTCATTACCAATTTGATGAATTGGTTTAACTATGATTTTCAGTTAGCCTTAGGTCTAAAGTGTCCAAAATTGGTTGATGGACTTCCGGGTCACGTTGCCAAATTTCAGTTACGAACATTTGTGCGTTCCCCTATATTTAGATTTCAATGGCTTCTGCCAAGCCGTTTAGCAGAAGGGGATGTATATTTTTGACAGCATGTTGAGTCACACATACATGTACTGACTCTAGCAAAGTAAGCAAGGTCTTATTTTCTCACTAAAATGTTCCTTTGCAATGTACAGGCATTCACAGAGACTGACACGCGACCGTTTAGCAGAAAAAAGTTGCCCAGTAAAATTGACTGGGTGCAGGCCACGAAATTTGACGCTAACGATACCAATCGGTTACGTGCGGTCGAGCTAGCTCAAAAACACGCGACCGATTTCCTAGTTACGCAAATTAAAATATCGGTTACGTTAACAAATTTCATTAACAGATTTATTCACATTTGATCAATTTTTATACAGGATGACTTTGTGACACGGGTCTAAATTATTTGTATTATAGCACAAACTCCATTCATTCATTCTTAGCATTTCATTTCTCCATTTTACCGGTACTTTGACAGATCACTATTTTGACACCACTTAGGCTATATATTGACCAGTTGCAAACACGTTGATTTAAAAATGCCCCTCACTCCTAATTCTTTAAATGATTAGTTATGCCATAAATTTTGAAAGCATACCTTTGGATTTTCAAACACAAAATGAGAAATGAGTTTGACTATTTAACATGTCGGTTATATTTCCAAAGAATTTACTACACGTGTTCCTTTCAGTTTTCACTATAGCCATGCTGTAGTACCAATGACCCGTATGTATGTCGTCAACTTTGACCCCCTCCCCCCCCCCCGGCATCGCTCGAGTGATAATGTAAACGATTTTACTCTCCTGTCTATTTTAATATTATTTCATGACATCAAACTATTCTGTTTCCTTTTGAGACTTTGTGTATAGAGTGCCGAGGTTTATAATAAATACTGTTTGTCAATCAGTCGCTATACCTATGAGTGAGGCTATAGCATGCTACGTGCTTGGATGAATGATTGCAAGTGACAAGTGTAATATGAAGGACGCATGTAGTCTTGAGTGACCGAAAACAATGTGGTAGCTACCATTCCTGGTTTTTGAAGGTCAGATATAACATAAAAACGAAAATCCATTAGTAATTTTTGGAACCGATTCCCCTCATTATTAAAATGTAGGGATTTAATGAAGTGGAACATTTTTTTTCTAATGTTATATTGTTTAAATGGGGACACCGTGGGATTAAAGTCATTAACACTTAACCTAATATAATATTAAATATAAAAGAATAAAATTAGTCAAGTTATTTCTTTAAAAAATACATTCACTGCAAGTGGAAATGAATAATAGCACCATTTAAATCTGGATAAAACATGAAAACAGCGCAACCATTTTATGTAACCAATTGGTAGGTATGTGGCAAAAAAAATGAAAGTCACTGGATTTTAATGAGACTGGTATCAGTAGATAGGTCTCTCCAAGACCTTTCCAATGACACCAAGATCACATTTCTGTGACAAATAGTAAAGGAGGTACACCATTTTTTGTGTCACCAATTAGCGCTAATTGGCGGCTTTGTCTTTAATAGGAAAATGGTAAGATTAACGACTTGGCGCCGTGACCGAAAAGTGGAATCCAGGAGAATGCACATAACTTTCTTATTTTTAACTCAAATTCAAAGTTAAAGGTATCAATGGAAAGCTTATTCACAGACGGAGGAGTATGTAATACTTTAAAACAAGAATAGTAATGTGTTCATGTTAAATTTTAATTAAAATGACAAGTCAAAAATCATACAATAATTGGTGAAAGGCATCGGCGTCGCACAACTTTTCTTGGTCAATGTCCTACTAGGATTTCATAAAACAACAGTTTCATTATCCGATCAAGTTATTTAAGCATCTATGCACCAATTTTAACACACACTAACTAATAATCCATATATAGTATTATTCAAACTCAGCGTCTATTCTACCTAACAAAAAATCAAGTCTTCACAAATGAGATCGGCAGCAAGTTCCAACTTGGGGATTTCAAAGTCCTCTGCATCCTCATAACTTCCTTCTGCTGACCAATAAGCTATTTTGTAACAATGAATGTTTTGTTTATTTCCATCTTTCTTTCTTTTTTTCATTTTTTCTACTCTACCACACCACTCAGTCTTTTGATCGGTGTCTTCGTCATACCAAGTGTGGCAGATGCTGCGGCCAACTATACTTCCTTCAAAAAGACCAACTAAGTCAACATGGGTCTCATCTGACACTTCAGGGAATACTGTTTTAAGAGCACTAACATCTAGATTTTTAAGTTTTTTTTCAATGTCTTTCCTCTCTTTAATATTCTTTTTCTGTCTATTGTGTGCCGCTCTCCTTGACAATTCCTTGTTAACATCACAAATTTTTTTCCTGTTCATTGATCTTTTCTTCCGCGCCTTGCCAATTGCCCATGTCACAATGCGCGACCTTTTCCCCTCATACACACTATCTAACCACCCCACAACATTGTTTTTCTTTGCACGCATCCTTGCCACCAAAAAGTCTACATTTGCATTTTTTGCCCTTTCTTTTCCCGCACTAAACATACCCATAATTTCTTCAGAGTCAATGTTGTGCAATCGTGCGGACTCAGTTTCTCTTCTCAACTGCTCAGTGATATCCATCCCAAAATAACGTTTGTATTGTCGTTCTAATACTTCTATGATGGCTTTCAAGCAGGCTGTTGCCATGATTCTGAACATGTCCTTGTTTACTGGTTCCCTCAATAAACTATGAAGTGTTTTGTCGTCTGGTTTGAATGCACCACCGAAAAAATCTACATTTCTTGTAATAATACTAACTGGGTCATCCAGCGTTTGCCGAAGGGTACAAAGCACATCTTTTACTATGTTGATACCTTCCATATGTGAAACTTCTGACTCAGCTGAAGCATAGAACTTGGTCATCCATGGCCCTGTCAGAAGCTTTCCAAGGATACCAACAACCTGCATTTCTGTGATGGCAGTTTCTAAACCAAAATCTTTTAGTAAACTGGGTACTAAACCACCACAAGAAACCGAACCACTTCCTAGGAAATTGAGTAGTAAATCATAATGTTCAAAGAATTTCCCACTGATATGGAAGAGGATATGAAGTCTGTTTCCTCTGTACCTAGGCAGAAGACCCCTTGGTAAGTTGTTGTCGTCTAGGAATGTCTTGAACCCCTTAGGATCTCCTTTTGAATCTTTATATCTCAGTTTGTTCATTTGTACAACTAAGTTTCCAATTACACAGTCATTCCCAAATAACTCTCCTTTCTCACTCTCAACGGATTTTAAGGCAGACCTACATTTAGTTGCTATTGTATCTAGCGGATGTAAATGGCAATTGAGTTCATTGAGAGTTTTTCCCCATGAGGCATTAACCTGTCGAATGGTTGCCTGATTCACAGCAGCCCTGTCATTCATGGTATTGGCTATATTACTTATTATCGTTTCTCTACAATACTGGTACTCTTCCTCATGAAAGTCAGAATAAACGTCTGCAAGATAATCAATCGTGTTGGTGATGTGACCATGGTAATCATTAGCTGTCCCTCCAGGAAGCTCATCTACGGCAACAAGGTCACAGTCACTTTTTGTAGTCAGGTGAATGCTGTTCACGTGAACTCCTTCTTGGGTGGTAGCATCAAAGCCCAAAGTAAGGTTTTTTGATTTCATGGCTAATTCTGCACTTTTCAAATCTGCAATAGTGTCAAGTTCCCTGGCCATCTGCTCCACTGTGGTCCTATGAGGCACAGATGTGAGGACGTCTCCATTTCGTTTCGCCTGCCCTGCTATGATGCCTGGAACATTATTTGTTGGCACTTGACCCACAATTGTATCATAGACCATCATGCGTGTCTTGACACTGTATGTTTTTCCATCCTTTTTAGTTTCTTTCTCCTGGCTTTTTTCATTCTTTAATTCCTCAACCCTTTCTTGCCATTGAATAACTTCATTTTCATATCCCCTTGTCAACTCCTTTTGTTCAGATAGTTCCTTCTTTACCCTCATGAACTCCTCTTTTGAAACTGTTTCAGATTTTTTTTCCTTCAGCTTTTCCTTATTCGAATTCAACAAACGTTTATGAGTCCTTTGAAGATGTCTAAGCTCTGCCTCCACACTCATATCAGGCCCTTTTTTCAATCTCAGGAGTTCTTCCTTGAGCTGAGCAATCGTTTTATCTTTTTCCAGCATAGAGTTCTTTCTCCGTTGTTTACACTGATTTATCTTTTTCTTGTCATGATAGTCACTATATTTCAGCTTCTCTTTCAAGCTCCTCAAACAAGTCAAGTATTTCTTTTTTTCAGTATTTCTCATATTGGACAAACACGTAAGCCGCTTCCTCATCTCAAGTTTTCTTGGGGTGAGCATGTGCCTTGGGGTCCGGGGTGAATCTGTGTTCTTCACTGGTGTGTGGGGCGGCTGCTGCTGCGAGGGGCCTGGAACAGGTGACGTACATGTATCCATGGCTTCATGTGATTGAACTGGAGGTGGTGATGAATCTAACGTAAAAGGCTCAGCACAAAATAGCGCAAACGATTCAAACTCAGACTCCCGACTTAAATGTTTGTACCTGCCATAACGATTGACAACAGTTTTTACAGCACTAATGTTCAGTGAGATATGATCAGGTGCAAAGCGTTTAATGGCTGTGACAGTCTTTGTCTCAGATTTCCCATGTTGGAAGTACAGTGTCAAAATATGCCCAACTTTGAAATTGTTCTCTGGCATCTCTCCGTAGAGATTCATCAGATGTTGACGGCCTGGACCCGGCTTTGCTGGAGGCGGTGCAGTCCTAGTCTTTTTCTTCATTGTGGAATGTAAACTGAAAAATAAGAATAAAAGTCTGTAAGTTATAAGCGAAATAAGTCATACTATAAGAGTATAAGTAAGAATTTGCAGAGGAATTTAAAACAAAATTGAACATATCCCTGTCCAAACAACAATCTAAGTAATGCCTCTATGACTTTTTCAAATAAATCATCAAAAACATATCAAAATTAAGTCATGAAATGCAAAAAAAAACAAACTCAGCACATTATTTTGTTTATCAACACAACGGATCAGCCAATCCAAAGCAAGAATGGAGGTCACGTGACCCAAACGGCCCTAGTTTTACACAAATTGCTGGATTTTATACCATTCTAAATCATCAATCATCGGCGTTATTAAGGCATAAAAATACCAGACACTGTATTTAATTATATCTTTACATACAAATGATTATATAAAAAACACAATTGATGTTGTTTATGGCCGTTTTAGTGATTTATTTTTGATCGAAAAAGATGGAAAACACATTCAAATTTGGTCCCGATTTCTAACCCCGACCTTGACACCTTTCGCGGCGGATTCAAAAAAGTGGGTTGGTAATCCATGAATTTCGCTCAAAATCAACACAGATGTTGTCAATATAATAAAGAATAATACATCAGAAGATCAAGTCAAACATTACTCACCTTTAGACGTTAAATAGGCTGTTTTGTGAAGTAAACGGAACTCGAAAACTGCAAGTTGAAATGTAAAAATATTCGATGCGGACAATGGAAAAATTTTGGCAACATGGCGGTAAATAAACATGTGTACTACGTAATTAGTCTCTGAGCTCGACTTAAGTTATTGTGTAACACGTAGAAAAAAGAGAATTAGTACGGGGGAGGTACCGAGGGAATTCCCTAAAGCAGAAAAACGAAAACGAGGCTCGAGCCGAAGCGGCTCTGGAGATTATCTGGTGTTTGCCACATACCTACAATTGGTTACGCAATGATCATCTGGCGTAACCAAAGAAAATGGTTACGCAGAGCATAAACCCGCAACCATTTTTCTGGTTACGCCAAAATTTGAAATTTCGTGGCCTGTGGGTGCCGATAGGACGGTTCCTGAAAGTACAGGGCGAGTGTAATGAGTCCTACGTTCAGAGCGGAACTAGATTCTACACATACCGCCTCTGTTGTCGAGACTGAAAGAACTGTGAGGTCTACAATTGATAACAATTCGGGACCATCTGGACTGACAATCGAGTATCCCCTACATGATTCCATATGGGAATAGTCAAATAGCCCCAGTTCACTTTATTTATTAATCGGTTGTTTACATTACGTACCACTATGCGTTATTATCAAATCCGAAAATAAAATGTTATCTATAAAATAATGACATGCCGACTAGAGTATTTCTCTACGTATCCAGCGATTCATATTCTTGATATTTACCTATCTATACCCTTTAAAAGCTGGGCTACCGAGGCTCTCATTGCTTCAGCCATTTTCTATTTCTTGTCAAGCATGGACTGCACCCATCTATGATTGTCGTAAATACAGGTGCCCGGTCTTCTTTCGCCGATATGTTGAAATATAGGTTGATTATTTTCACGATCATCACACTGGATATTCTATTATTAAATAAAAATCTACATGTAAAGGTTTTATGTTTGTGTCGCTGTTGAAGAAGGGTTACGACATGTAAATACCCATTTACGGTAATAAAAGGATAACTCTGATCGGTTAAAAAAAAAAAAAAAATCTTTGGGTTAGTGAACGTTTTATTAAAATTTAGGTTTAGGTTCACAAGAGAAAGTTGTCATTATTGATACATAACTTTCTAATAAATCGCTAGAGAAAGTATTGGAATCTGGCCCAAAAATGTATCAGTTATTTGTGCGAATGACAAATAAATACTAGGCCTAATAGGCCTACCTACTAAAAAAAAATCTAAAATGTTTAATAGAGTTACTTCTTAGTCTAATTGACAAAAAATAAAGAATATTTTCTGTAAATTATTCAATATTGTTTTATTTTTTCATGGCTCTTATCAATGAAGTTTATTTCAATATTTCAGATTGATTGACTTCACAAAGAAAATCATTTGTTTATTAAATGGAGTTACCTCCCTTTGAATGCTGGACATAAGAAAGTCTTAATAAAGTCAAGACCAACAAATTAATTAAATATTTGTTGGATAAAGATGGAAAATGGAGCCATGGCTTTCCCATCCACAGATAAAATAAGTGATCAGCAAAGAATTGAGAATGCAAAACAATATAAAAATGAAGGGAATAAAATGCACAAAGGAGGAAATTGGAGACAAGCTATCGGAAAATACCACAGAGCATTACTTCAAGTGAAGGGAATTGGGCAATCTAAAAGTGATATTTTGTCCCATCTAAGTGGAGAGCCTAATGAAGGCAATGACATCCCTGAAGAAATGAAATTACAAATTCGTAAAATTCAGTTAGATTGTTATAACAATTTAGCAGGTTGTTCCTTTTTTCTTTCAAAATTATTAATTTATTAAAACAACACTTTATTATAGGTCCGAGTGGTCTTTTTGTTTGGTCCAAGTAGTCTTTTGGTTTGGTCCGAGTGTTCTATCAGTTGGTCCGACTGGTCTTGGTCCGAGTGGTCATGGATTCATTAATATGATAGGGAGGGGGGATGGCCGAATGGTTAGGTTAGCACGTGCATGCTGCATCATGATGAGGTCTGTCATTTAGTCAGCTGCCGTGGTTTCGATTCCCCGGTTGTACGTGACAAGGAGTAGGTTCACCTGTCCAACCTCGTGGGTTTTCTCCGGGTCCTCCGGTTTCCTCCCACTGCTAAAGACCCCTATACGCAAGCAAATTATTGAAATAAGATTTAATCCATGTGTTAGTCCCGAAATGACCTAGTTTATGTCGAGTGGACGTTGAACCCCATTTATCTCTCTCTGTTCTTACGGACTGAGTTGAACTTGTTTTAATTTTAATAATGTTTTCTGTTAGATACGTTAATTTAACAAGTAATTTTGTTCGCATTTATACAACATGTATTAATTTCTATTTTCAGCCAGCCTCATGAAACAAGAATCATCAAATTATGATAAGATAAATGAATATTGTGATAAAGTTCTTGAGATTGAACCATTTAATGAGAAAGCTTTATATAGAAAGGCAACAGCCTTAAACACACTTCGACGATTTGATGAAACAGTAAATTTGATTGAAACATTTGCTAAAGGTAAAATCTCTTGCTAAATTACTATTTTATACTCAGAAATACATCATGAATAGCTAAGTAATTTGGAAAAAAGTAAGACACTTGACAATTGGCATAAAATAATGATAAATTTTTTACAGAGTCACTGCTATTCTTGTCATAGTTGCAAAGAAAGTTATCCAACCATTGGGAGCTGTGGTGATTCAGTGAGTAAGTCAGTGGCTCGCTAACATGGAAGTCCCGTGTTTAATCCTGGTGTTGGCCAGGAAGGTTCATTGAGATTTTCCGACATGGTGCCAGTGGCGCAGGACAAAGGGTCGGGCAAGGGACAATGTATAGTCATTTGGATGGCACGAAAAACCAAGGTCACAGGTACACATTGGTGTGCACGTAAAAGAATCTTTGAAAGTTGGAACATGAAATAAAAGTAGGCTGTAGCACAGCCGACTGGTGCAAAATTTCCCCTCATAGCACACTGTATGGTGTATGTCCGTCTCCATTAGCCCTGTTGGAGCAGAACAGTAGGACGTTAAACCCCATTTCATTTCATTATCCAACCATGGAGGCATAATTAGGACTATTTCTAAGTCATTAATTTACTGCTGCAGCACTGTCCTTCACAAGAATCAGGCGTTAAACCTAATTTCATTTCATTATCCAATCATAATTATGACTATTTCTATGTCATTAATTTACTGAATAGTGAATTTTTGCTCGCCCGACTGCTGCAGCACTGTCCTTCACAAGAATCAAGCTTTGAAATAAGGCATCTGTCATAGACATTGTCAGGTATAACCCCTAGTCTGATGGCTGTTACTTTGCCTGGCAAAGATATTTTTTTGGGATGTGTTTTTAATTTAATGATATTTAAAATACATGTATTAGCTACCAGTTCATTAGTGCCTGAAATCTTTCATCCAAACAACTAAATTGATTATTTCCAGACCCTATAAAGATGATTTTATAATTTCAGATATTCCTGCGTTAAGGAAGCCATTTGCCTCGGCACGGGAAGGCCAGAAATCACAGGAGAATGTCTTAAAGAAAAATTTACAGGGGATGTACGATTCAAAGAAATAAGAACAATAATGTTCTTTTGTTAGCAATAAGAACAATGTGATCTTGTTAGAAAAAAGAACAATAATGTGATCTTGTTAGAAATAAGAACAATGTGATCTTGATAGAAATAAGAACAATAATGTGATCTTGTTAGAAATATGAACAATAATAACCCAGTATTAACTCCGATGTTCTCTATGTGTATTCAGCGTAACTCGACAAAGTAGGCCCCTACTGCTTCATGGCACGACCAATCAAAGGTCTTTATTTTCTTCATACCTACACCCAATCAGATTAAACTAATCAATCAGTGTTGATGTTTCTAGTGGTTTACCCACAGTTCCGTGCATGGCACTCCAAGAAGTGGCCATAACAGATGGTTTCATTGGCTAATCCCTCACATTATCTAGAATGCCTGTTATATAACAACTCTTCCAGATCCTAGTGTAGTGAAGACAAGTAAAACAAAATTTTAAACTATAAAAAACGTAATGAAATAGGATCTGTGTTTTAATCAGATTGAACAACACCTATTATTATTTTTACGTTTTCTTCAGGAACTTTATTTCTTGGAAATGACGCACAAATACTAAAATTGAATCATCAATATTTCTCGTACCATCTAACAGATATCACATTCCAATTTAAATTCTCATCTATTGCTCAACTTCTGTATTCATTTTATTTTTAACATATCTCAAACAATTTGATAGAAACAACATTGTTTACATGTGGTCCTCCTTCACTGATTAAACATACATTATGGGAGATAAGATAAAGAGCTGGCAATTCTCACTATAATAGTTAAAAACTAAATAATGTAAAGGCAATTTGCTGAATATTTCAGTCAAATTGATCCACTATGAACAGAGAATTAAGCGATTGAAATTTCGACCTAGCCTCGATCATCATTACTAAAGTCTGTATGATATAAAACATAGTCTCGATCATCCATTTCATGATTAAATTATGAATAGAAGTCGAGCAGCAAATGGGATCATAATCCAGTAAATATCGCAGGCTAGCGATGCCATCGAGACTTGATTATGGTCTGGACAAGTTAATTAATGTTTAATTAATAATCTAAACCAAATTTCAGACCTAAAGAAAGACCTGCAATTGGCAGATTTAGCTCTTGAATAATGTATGTTTAATAGAACCCACATGAAGGGGATGTTTTCACATACACTGTTTACTTATAATCTGATGATTTGTATTCATAAAAATTTATACCATTATATGATATAAGTCATCACTATTGTAAACTAATGTTTAGTGTCTACAGAAAGTGGTTAGAACATTTTACAGTAGACGTCACTATCATAAACTAATGCTCAGTTTCTACAGTAGTCATCACTATAGTGTACAAATGTTTAGTATGTATAGAAAATTATACAGTAGTCATTAATTAGTAGGTATGTAACTAGGTGTAAAAGATTCAACTACTGGTGTAAAAGCATAACTAGTTCTAATACTCATCACTATTGAATACACAAACCTGACCAATAGTGATGTATATCATTCAAAAGTCACACTCACCTGATTACTGACTATTTTAATGAATACATATTAAATGATGAGTTAGATCTGTTCCAGTTGACATTTTCCTTAGTACAAGTCATTTGTTCACAAGTAAACATTATCAATTTTACAATGATATCTTTTTGTTGCAGAAATTTTCAGTGAACATTATTACCTTTACAGTGATGGTCTGTGGTAAAGTCTGTTATTAAAACTGGGAAAAATGGCATGTTATGTCTCGCCATCATAGAGAGAGAGAAATGGGGTTTAACATCCACTCGACACAAACTAGGTCATTTCGGGACTAACATATGGTTCAATCCTATTTCAATAATTCGCTTGCGCGTAGGGATCTTTAGCAGTGGGAGGAAACCGGAGGACCAATAGATAACCCACAGGGTTGGACAGGTGACCCTATTCATCATGTACAAGCGGGGAATCGAAACCATGTCACTTGACTCTATGACAAATGTTATGATACAACACACTTGTGTCAACATTCTCCTCCCAACCGCCCTCCCACTCACCATCACAGAGAAAATTGATAACAATATGAATTATTTATTAACAATTAAGAATTCATTTTACAATAAAACAATTTTGTACATATATAAATCAAAGTATAAAGCAAATAACAAGTCTCAACTACATTCCTCATATTTCATAAAAACTACATTTTGTAAAAAAAACCCAATTAAAATGGTTTCAAATAATAAAAGTGTTTTGTTATTTTCATATAGAATATTAAACGAAGGATGTTTGAATTAAAATCATGTTAAAACTACTATAAACATTGTACCATTGATACAGTACTTGAAATAAAATCATTAAAATTCCTATAAAGCAAGTTTTTCACTTTTCAGACAGTCAATTTTTAAAGTAGTTTGCTTGATAAAGACGAGAGTATACTGGTCGAAACGTGGCTTAGTATTAAACTCAGTAATTATGTATCCATGAAATTGTACCTTGTGTTAATATGTTCAATTACTAAATGTCAATGAAAGAAGATATTTTGTTTGACGTCAGATCTACAATATGGATTTCCCGAAGACATTATCAAGTTTATAATTAGATATTTTAACACATTAAAACCATAACTCTTCATTGTGTTTTAAAGAAATTCTTATTTCATGGCATATATACTGACAGGCAAGAACTCCATCTGCTTAGTTTCAAGGTCAGTCGATCAATAATGACAAATGGGCAAATATGCTTCAAACAAGGGAGAGAGAGAGAGAAATGGGGTTTAACGTCCACTCGACACAAACTGGGTCATTTAGGGACTAACATATGGTTTGATTTTATTTACATAATTCGCTTGCGCGTAGGGGTCTTTATTAGTGGGAGGAAACCGGAGGACCCGGAGAAAACCCACGAGGTTGGACAGGCGACCCTACTCCTTGCCACGTACAACCGGTGATTCGAAACCACGCCAGTCGACTCAATGACAGACTTAATGATACAGTGCGCGCACGCTAACCATTCAGCCATCCAACCCCCCCTCAAACAAGGGACTAGCTATATATTAAAGATTATATATCATTGACACCATGTACAGTGCCTGGAATGAATTCTAACCTATTTCTCTTTACGAATAATACCTTTCAACACCCAATACAATAAAATGGTTACAGAATTCTTTCAGTCATGTTGCCTGAGATTAATTGATTGTGAGAATTCAATTCTGAAACATATAATTGTGTATATCCCCAAAATTAGAGAAGCACTACATATGAATTAATACTAGCTCAGATTATCAAGACAATAGTTTACGCTGTATAGATGATAGTTTAGATCTGTTACTGGATGTATGAGACTCTGGTGTTCTATCTGCATCAGTTATTTCTTCAACATCATCATTTTTACTGAAATGTTCAAAGGATAAATTTCATTCATAGCCAAGAAATGAGGTTTAATGTCCACTGACCACTCAATACAAATTAGGTCATTTTGGGACTAACATATGGGTCATTTTTCTTTCAATAATTCACTTGTGCATAGGGGTCTTTAGCAGTGGGAGGACCGAGAAAAAACCCACGAGGTTGGACAGGCGACCCTAATTTCACTTATAGCCAAGTATGGTGGGTGGGAGGAAAAAAACAGCTGGAATCAAACCAGCGACCAATTGAGTAGCATGGCATCATCACACAGACCCAGCTGCCAATTGAAGATCTTTTGTCTGACCTATAATGTTTATTTACATGTACATGGCAAGCCTTTAATCAAATCTCCAGACTATCGGATGGCCAAGATTAAAATTGATTAGAACATCCATGGTCATTTTTATTCCTACGCTTGTAAGTTCAATGTGTGAGGGGAACTCGGAACAGCTTGCCCTTACAGTTACATCCCCCCCCCCCTACTCTTCTTTCAACTATCAAATGTTCTTGGACATGAGAGAGAGAGAAATGGGGTTTAAATCCACTTGACACAAACTAGGTCATTTCAGGACTAACATATGGTTCAATTTTATTTCAATAATTTGCTTGAGCGTAGGGGTCTTTAGCAGTGGGAGGAAACTGGAGGACCCGGAAAAAAACCCACACAGGCGACCCTACCACTTGTCACATACAAGCAGGGAATCGAAACCGGAGGACCCGGAGAAAACCCACGAGGTTGGACAGGCGACCCTACTTCTTGTCACGTACAACCGGGGAATTGAAACCACGCCCGTTGACTCAATGACAGACCTTATGATACAATGTGCTCGCACTAACTAGTCAGACATCCAACACCCTTCTTGTACATGTTTCCATTTGCCTGGGAAGTAACTCCCGATAAGTGAAGACCAATTTTCAAAGATAAGTTGCCAGGCAACGAAACATACGCCAACAGCAGCTATATCGTCCGGGCAGTCAACAAGAGTTGTCGCATATTTTTACTTTTTTCGGTAATAAAGTAATGACGGGGGCGACAACAATATATGACCACATTTCAATGTGGGTGTATAAAAATTCTGAAAGTCTTTGCCCTCTCCGAGTTCACATAGCATTTAAAGATATAAAGATAAAACTTACTCTGTTTTTTTCCTTCCAAATCTGGAGAAAAGATCCTTTATCTTGGTTTGACTGACATCCATAACTTTACCTGATGTTCCAGACTTCTTGCGACTAGACTTGGACAATCCAGACACTCTACATGCTTTCTTTGCTATTGAAAAAGACAAAATATTTGTATATTAACATCAGAGGACTATAAAACAACATTACCGTGACTAAACTACTTGTCACATTCACAACAAAAAACAACACTACTTATCTGTTATTTAAAGATACATTATGGGAGATTAGATAAACAGCTGGCAGTTCTCACTACAATAGTTAACCAGCGGCTGCCAGGCAGGATACGCCCACATTTTGCAAGAGATGGATAGAGAACAAGCTAAACAAAAAGCGATTTTTCGAACAATCAAGGGCCATAATTCAGGATATTACGATCCGATATGCGCGAATATCGACAGGAACCAAGATCTTTGGGTTATAAAAATATATTTCAAGTTTCATCAAAATCGGATCAAAATTATGACTTCTAGAGGGTCCACAACCTTGATATACCATTTATTTACACTATTTGCGTATGAGGGGTGACCATTTTATCCGGCAGTTTTGGTCCGATTTTCATGAATTTCAAACTCAACCATCATTAAGGTGTAACGGTGACATACTAAAACATTTTTTTTAAATCCGATAAAAATTGTGACCTCTAGAGGTACCACAAGCTCAAAACGTGATTTTTCGTACAATGAGGGGCCATAATCCATGAAGTTTTGATCCGATACATGCCAATATCGAAAGCAATCGAGATCTTTTGGAGATAAACCTATATTTTAAGTTTGGTCAAAATCGGATAAGAATTGTGACCTGTAGAGTGTCCACAAACAATTGTGGACGGACGTCCTGAGGTCCGGACTGACAGGGGCGACAATATACGTCGACATGAAAATGTGGGCGTATAAAAAGTAGATAATGTAAAGGGAATTTGCTGAAAATTTCAGTCAAATTGATCCACACTTAACCGAGAATTTATTTAGTAATTGAATTTTGGGCCTAGCCTCGATCATCATTACTAAAGTCGGTACAAAAAAATACAGTGTCGATTATCCATTTTTTGATTTAATCACCAATGAGCGTTGATCAACAGATCGGATTCTAATCCAGTAAATATCGTAGACTTGCAATGACATTGAGAGTTGATTATATTCTGGAAAAGTTAATTAATGTCTAATAAACAATCTAGATAACATTTCAGGTCTAAAGAAAGACCTGCAATGGGGTACATTTAGCTCTTGTATAATGTATGTTTAATAACGTTATTAGGTTATGTTTTCAATTTAATGTTACCTTTATCTGTCATCAGTTTATTTGTCTATGTGTAAAAGCCCTAGAGCAGGCATCGACTGGATGACCTGGCGCCTGGTACGTTCGGGCATTTTTATGCGCGAACTCTTAGGTTTTTTTTTAACAAGTACCCAAATCGGGGTTTTCGTGCGGAGGTAGTTCGGAGGTAAACAGTCTGTGAAGTACAACACTTGCCACTGTACCTGTGTATCGCTAATTATAAACCGAATGTGTGAAGACAGTTCATACATATCACTCAAAAATTTTTCAGTACAAACTCAGTTGATTCACGCTCGATTTGCTACTAAACAAACCCATCGGTTTATTTTCTCAACAGTGTGACCCGAAGTGACCGCGGATTTATTGACCTTGTATGAACTTATCCATAGCTATATCCTTACACCGAGAGAAATTATCTAGTCTCGGTGAAAAGAACCATGGTCATCTGGTAGAAAATTACTTTTGTATTTTTTGGAACGGAAAACAGTGTTTTTAGAAGCAAACTAACCTGCCGCACATGAGGAAGTCATTATACTAATAATAAAAGGCGAGACCTCTTTTTGCGGCGCAGGCTTATCACTGAGTAGTAAACCGTCCACAAACAATAATATAGGAAGCCTAGTGACGAGTGTAGTAAGTAGGCTATAGACTATAGGTTTGAGTCGAGATTACTCGCTTTCAGTTTACTCTGTTTCTGCGATAACCAATTATGTGAGAAATACCATACTGACATTCGGTTTTTAAAAGTTGTACGCGAACTAAATGCGTTTGTTAGATACTGACAGAGCAGCCCCGAGTCGAACAATTGCCGCCCGAGCTGTCTTCGTCAGCTAGTTTCACAATATCGTGCAATAGGTGTATTAATGTGATTTTTAGGTTTAACCCCGCAAACAATGCCAAAATAGTGTTTTCACTGCTTACAGAAAACTGAAATTTAAAAAAAAAAATTTTTATGAGGGTGACCCTCCCACACACTCCCTATCGAGCTGCCGCTCAGTCTGCGCAGCCTCATGCCTGGCACATACTGTCAACATTGTATATTTTTCCGTTTCCGCCCTCCCCCCCCACAATATATATTTCACGGCTACGTTGCGACGGTACCAGCATACCCAGTTGTTGACACCCATTACATCACTCCTGTCTAACAAATCATAAAGCTGTGGTGTTACGGTGGCGGGATAGTATTTCACCGTAACACCACAGCCACTCTAACCATTCATAATACATCTAACTATCCCTTTACAGCACTTCACTCCCTACACATTTCCCCTCGTCCTACTTTCCCAAAAGTCAACAACACATCTCATACATCCAGTTCGCTGATTAACCCTTGTACTACGTCTACTGGATATTGTTGTGTTGTATAAATGTACAATTTATAACTCATGTGCGTCAGTCTAAACTCATCAATGTTTAAGACACTACCTTTGGTGCTTAAAGCTACCACCTTTGGTGCTTAAAGCTACCACCTTTGGTGCTTAAAGCTACCACCTTTGGTGCTTAAAGCTAAGTATATTTTACCTATATCTCAAGTCTGCACGTCATTGTCATATATAAATTCACCCTGATGTTCCTCTTGTCTGAGTACATTTTATAGTTTAACAAGGACTTGGTATACAACATTAAAGCTAAACCAGTTTGATTTTCAGTTCTTCAGACTCTTGATAATGTTTTTTTCTTCAATTTTGAGAAGAGCAAGCAAATGTTTTTGGTTTCAAAATATTTTTTCACAAGCAATAAATATGAATAGCAAAATTTTCATAATTGCCCCCTGAAGGACGAAAATTTAAATTGATATGACTTAAAAGATAAAGGTATAATTACCTGTAATAGGCTTTACAACAGGTGCTTCCTGTAATTAAACATGTAAATATATAAATACATTATATTCAAGTATTTAAATAGACACAGCCATATATGGTTACGTCTAAATATTAAGGCTAACTACAGATTTGGTCAAAGGTTATGAGATGCAAACAGGGTTAGCAATAACCCTAACCCTAAACCAAGCCCTTACCCTAACCCACAATCACGTGCCCTAACCCTATTTACATCTCGCAATTCTGGGGCCATACTATATACCGGAAAACACCGGAAAACACCATTTTATACTGAATACCGGAAAACACCGGAAAAACACTAAATACCGGAAAACATCCTAAATACCGGAAAACACCCTAAATAGGTAACCCGGAGCCTGGTATATAGTATCGCCGCAATTCTGATGAAATCTGCAGTTGGCCTTAATATTTAGACCTATACCACCATATATGGGTAGAATCTGGCCAACTATTGTCTTAATTGTCATTGGATAACAACATGGCTGTCTAGTATCATGTTCCTGAAGCAACGACGTTGCTAGATTACTTTACAACATCTGGACGTTGCTTGTTTACTTCACAATTCCCAAACTTATAGATATGTTATCTACAACATCTGGACGTTACTTGTTTACTTCACAATTCCCTAACTTATAAGTACGATATCTACAGACACGTGAACAGTAGCGTCCAATCAGAGGTTGTAACATAACGAACTCCACGGAAACCTTGACATTTAAACTGATTATCACAGGTAGACATTTTACTTTGAAAGCGCGAGACTTGGTATTTGTGATGATCGAGGAATCTGATAGGCTCACAAGCTGGGTGAATTCCCAATTGAAATTAGTGCCGAATTATGCAGGGTATTACGTGAAGGCCTTGATAAGACGTACAGAGTTAAAGCAAGATCGAGCCTTCTATTGAGTGAGAGAGAAATGGGGTTTAACGTCCACTTGACACAAACTAGGTCATTTCAGGACTAACATGGTTTAATTTTATTTCAATAATTCGCTTTCGCGTAGGGGTCTTTAGCAGTGGGAGGAAACCGGAGGACCCAGAGAAAACCCACAAGGTTGGACAGGCGAGCCTTCTATTGAAGATTGGCTAGTATTTGTCTGACCTATTATATCTTATGATGTTACGTGTTCGATCCTTGCATTGGCCGAGAAAGTTCATTGAGATACTTCAATGTGGTTCCCCCTTGTCAGTTGTCCAGGACAGCTGTCTAGTATACTATTCAAAAAAAGTAGGGGATATTTGATTTTGGGGGCATAATACTAAAATATGCAAATGACTACGAAAAAAGTCACTATAGAACCTAACAGAAGAAACATTTCCAGTTACATGTGGCGCCCAAACGCACCAATAGCTACCGCATGGAATGCAGGTGATGCTTGGGATCATCATGGGGGTCCAACCCAAGATTTGCACGACTCTGACTTTGAATGTTACAGTCATTGTGGCATTGAATTCCAGGGTGGAAACATCAGTTTTATTGTTTTAGTGAACAGAAAACAAATTTTGATATGCGTCGGCTTACCCAAAATGAAAGGTTACGTGCCCTTGGCATGCTACAGATCGGCACAACACAGGCGGTTGTGGCGCGGACGATGAATGTTTCTCAGTCTGTCATAAGCAGGCTATGGTCCAGATACCGTGATACACAATCTGTACAGGACAGACCACGCTCAGGTCGACCAAGGGCGACAACTCAAGCCCAGGATCGATTTATCCGTACCTTGGCCTTGAGAAATCGTGTCATCACAGCAAATCAGATCAGCGCTCGTCTTCAAACAGACACTGGTGTGAGAGTGAGTGGCCAGACGATTCGGAATCGACTGCATAGGGGTCACCTTCGCGCCCGACGTCCTCGCGTGATCCCTTGTTTGAGAGATCATCACATTCAGGCAAGACGTCGTTGGTGTAGGGATCGTCAACACTGGGATAATCGACGCTGGAGCAATGTGATGTTTTCAGATGAGTCAAGGTTCACTGTTGATTTTTTGGACAGACGTAGGAGGGTGTGGCGTCGTCGAAACGAGCGCTTCCAAGACGTTAACGTCATCAGACATGATCGATTTGGGGGTGGTTCTGTTATGGTGTGGGGAGGCATCCCTGTTGCTGGAAGAACGGCTTTACATGTTGTTGCAGGGCGTGTTACAGGCCAGTACTACCGGGACAACATCTTGGCAGTCCTTGTTGTGCCGTTCGCACGACGTCATGGCCGCCGTTTCATCTTCCAGGATGACAACGCAAGATGTCACAGGGCCAGGATCGTTACAGGTTACCTCCAACAACAGAACATCACCACGGCCAGCACTGAGTCCCGACCTCTCCCCCATCGAGCATGTCTGGGACATGCTTGGACAGAGGTTACGTCAACGTCAACAACGTCCTGCCAATGTCCAAGAACTTGCTGCTGCGTTGCAACAGGAATGGGACAATCTGGACCAAAATGACCTTAGACGTCTCATTAGGAGTATGCCACGTCGGATCAATGCTTGTTTGGCAAACAGAGGAGGATTTACCCGTTACTGACTTGGTTGTGATGCTGTGGTAACTTTGCTGTTTGACCCCGGGTATCATTTTACCCTTATAATGGTCAGTCTGTGCCTTACTTAGTCTAACGATCATTTGGAATAAATCGATGAATGTGAACTTCATTTCATTTTGTCATTTGTTTCTTCGTCAGTTTCATTAGGTGACTTTAATAAAACTTAAAAATCAAATATCCCCTACTTTTTTTGAATAGTATAGTTTCAATGGGACAAAAACCGAGATCACGTGTAAACATTGGAGTGCATGTAAAATATCCCTTGTCATTTGGAATTCGATATAAGAGTAGGCCTTAGCACCGCTGTCCAGACAAAATTTCCTTCATAGCACATTTATGGCGTAGGCCCGTCTTCATTAGCTAAGTCTGATCAGAAGAGTAGGACATTAAACCCCATTTCATTTCCGTTAAGTCTCATTTTTTCCCATTACTTACCTTTTTTACTATTATTGTATCGTTACTATTGTCATCTATTACAATGGGACTATCAATATCACTAGTAGACGAGAAATAACTTGATCGTACGACATTCCTCTCACTGGAACCAGTTTCATTTCTATTAACACTATTTATACTACAATTAGATTCAGTTCTTTTCAAACTGGAATCAGTTTCAGAACAACCAGAATCAGTTAGAAAAAAAGTGGCCTTTTTAAAATTGGAATTAGTATCCATGGAGTCATTTTCCGTACAACTAGAATTGGTTTGAGGTAAACTGGTTTCGGTATCACATTCTTGTTTAATTTCTTCTACTTCTTGTGTAGTAGGTAAACAGTCCGAGTCCAAACTTGACATGGGCATATCACAATTCTGGCTTGCCGAGTCCAGACTTATCAAAGAACACAAACTGGTTTGAGAGTTCAAGGGCAAGTTGTTTTTTTCAGAGTCTGATTTTTCTTGCTCATTGTCTGAAAAACGGCCGACATTTGAACAATTTCCATCTTCTTTTTCCTTTTTAATAACTGATTGAAATGCCTTATTAACTGACGGAGCAGAAGTCAAATTTTCCGAACTTGAACTTTTAGAAAATTTGAATTTTGACCAACTAAATGCAGACGAGAGGGAAGATGACTTTTTCAGTTCTTTTGTTTTTGGTGATTTTTTCTTTAAGTTTTGTTTGTATTTTATACCCTGAGATGTCGACTGGTTTTGTTTATCGGAGGAGAATAAGTTGGGCAAATCAGGTATTTTGGGTAAATCAGGTATTTTGGGTAAATCAGGTATTTTGGGTAAATCAGGAAGCTTAGGCTGAGATTTGTCTTCAGTGTTCTCGTCTATCTTTTCTGTTTTTATTTCTTTGATGTTCGTCTCCTGACATTCTTGTTTTCCATTTGCAAAAAATCTGGAATTCAAAATATTTTAACATTAAAGATGTCAAATCGGATCATGTATTTTTTGGACAATATCAAATTAACCACGCCTATATCCATGCTAAAATGTACTCAAATTTGTTATTTCATATTTAATTAACAAAATGAAGAAAATATCAACATCTGATTAATGGAGTAACTAGACATTAAACCTGTTAACTCATGAAAGCCGTCCTATAACTTTTATTATCGTCTATATATTTTATTTATCAAAGGCTGTTGCGCCATTTTCGCTAAAATATCAAATTTTGCATTTCAGACCAAGATTCATCTTTCACTATATTGTAGTTAGTTTGCTTGGGATTCCTATTGTGTTAAAATGATGCATCGGGTCTTCAACCGAACATTTTGAAGCAATCATAATTTATCTAGTATTATGGTTAGTTAATTTTATTCATTTTTTTATACAATCTGATTAAAACACAGATCCTATATCGTTTTGTTTTTTTATAGTTCAAATTTTCTTTTTACTTGTCTTTACTACACTAGGATCTGGAAGAGTTGTCATATAACCTGCATTCTGGACAGTGTGGGGGATTAGCCAATGAAACCATCTGTTAGCCGTCTTCTTGGCGTGCAAAGGACGGAATTGTGGGTAAACCACTAGAAACGTCAATGCTGATTGATTAATCAATGTCTGACGTCATAGGGTCAAAAGCTGGTTGTACGACCCCTGACGCAACCTCCTACTACAGCTGGTCAGAGAGAGAGAGAGAGAGAGATGGGGTTTAATGTCCACTCGACACAAACTAGGTCATTTCAGGACTAACACATGGCTCAATTTTATTTCAATCATTCGCTTGCACGTAGGGGTCTTTAGCAGTGGGAGGAAACCGGAGAACCTGGAGAAAGCCCACGAGGTTGGACACCAAGAACATTATAAATATATTATAACCTACCTGCTCTTTACTATCACATTATTTCTTTTTTCATTCAAATCAAACTTTTCTTTTTTAGCCGAGAAGACAGCAAATTTATTTCTATGTGGTGAACGTTTTGTGTTTTTATTTTCTTTCTGCATAAACTCGTCTTCTTCTTCCATAGATATATCACACAAATCAGCAGCTGTTATTTTCTTCACTGGTGATTGGCTGAAAAATAATTATTTTTTATTTGAAAAAAGAAATGGGGTTTAACGTCCTACTGTTCTGCTCCTGGACTAATGAAGACGCTTGCGCGTAAGGGTCATTAGCAGTGGGAGGAAACCGGAGATCCGAGAGAAAACCCACGAGGTTGGATGGGCGACCCTACTCCTTGTCAGTACAACCAGAGATTCAAAACCACGCCAGTTGACTCAATGACAGACTTATGATACAAAGCGCATGTGCTAACCATTACGCCATCCAACGCCTCCTTTTATGGGAAGTACACTATAGTCACTATACAAGTTCTACCTACATGCAAACTTTTAGTTTCTTTGAATTATTAAATTCAAATTCCTCTGTTTCTGATTGGTCCGACTCATCTTGTGTTGAAACCTCGTCTGTACGTAATCGTTTAGCGGGAGATTCCTCGTATATATCAGATAATTCATCATTACCTGGTAGATTACATGTATCTGTAACAAAAAAAGGTTTTATAAACATAAAACAGATCTTAATTTATTTGATGGTATAACAAGGGATAATTTATTCCATGAATTGAGTGGATAAATGAGGTTTCTTAAAATTACAATTTAAGGTTGCAGCGATACCCCGGGGATGCCGCATTATCGCGATTATTTTTTTTCAAGTGATATCGTATCGGCCAAAGTTGAATAATCGCAATCCCCGGTATTTTAGGATTTTTTTGGGCGGAGGTCGGTGCAATAAATCCAAAGTTCATTTTCACCGGTGCGGGGGCCGGATCGAATTCGAAATAATAGTTTAATTACTACTTGTAAAATTATACAATAAAAATCGGTGAGAGAAAGTTCCCGAAACACATTTTGTAAACAAAGCCGCACGCGACATCGGTGTACCGTAGCAACGGTGCGGCGAATCCCCGGTTAACAAGACTGAAAATATTATGTTTATTTCAATGTTAAGTTAGTACTGTACGTCTGGTTGTTTAACCCGCCAAAACAAAGCAACCAAGTAACTCGACTTAGTCATCCAGCCGCTTTTTTCAAGTTATGAATCCGCACTCAGGTTCATCGATATGATTTTTTAAAACATACTTTGGGTGGTTTTTAATATTTTAGAAGTAATTAGAACATATATTTAAAACCATACGACTAAACTTTAATTAATGAGATATTTACAAACTAATAAATTTGTATATTTTTTATTGTTGAAAAACATACACTAACACAGCGGTTATACCATATTCAAGACTGGTCAATCGAGTCGGTGGTTTTTCCATTTCTCGTCTTTTACTCGGTCACAGTGCGTCGGCTGCTACAGAATAGAATTTAAACTGTAATTAATGATTAAAATGTCGAACGTCCAAAAAACACCTACCGATGCTATTATACAAATAGGCCTAAAGTGATAAAGAGAATTATCGTGATAAAATTGATAATCGTAGACTTTTATTTATCGCGATAATTCCAAAAGCAGTTATCATGATTAATGGCGATATCAGAATTTGATATCGTTGCAACCTTATTACAATTTCATATTTTCTAAGAAAGTCAAAACAAAATTATTTCTATGTCTTTTGCTCAATAGGTTGTCAACTCACTATTATACGATCATAGGTGTCATTCTCACACTTAAAACTCATTTACACCGGAAATAATAACACAATTACCTCCCTTGTTTTCTATTCTCCACCATGGAGTAGTTATCTTCAAACAATGAAATTTGAAGATGAAAATGATATTTTTGCCAATTCCTCAACTGGCATTAGTGAATTATAGGATTAATAGGATTATTCTTTAACAAGGTAGGACTGTTTATAAATACCATCTATTTTAAGGCTTTATTTTAATAAATTTTAAAAATATAACTTAAAAATATGAAATTGCAACTTTAAGTTCTGTGAGAGCTGAATCATGCTGAGACTGATAGACCAATGATAAGTGACAATTCATTCTCTGAATGGTGTGATCTAATATGTAACAGGCATTGCCTGAGTAGAGCGAAGCTGATTATTGTCAAATATAAAACCTTCATAATTAATTTTCTCAAGTGATACAAAAAATGTTAAATAATTTAGTTTTTCCAAATTGATTTTCATTTAGATCTAAATTGTATACATTAATTTTGTTTTTTAAAAAAGAACAAAAAAAGTGTGAGAATTATTTTCATTGACGTAAAAAATATGTGACGTCATTGATTAGACGCGTCATAGAAATAGTTCTATGAGGCGCGTAATCTCGCTTGGGCGAGATTTGGTAAGTTGACATGCGCATTGCCTGTTTTGCCCAGTGTATCCGGTTCCCGTCTGAAATTGTTTTTAATCAACAGTCTGTGGGTGACAATTTCAGTTACGTTTCTGTGTTACCGGAAAAGAGCTTTGCTCAAGCACCGCGCTTCGCGCGATGCTGTAGAGCTTCGCTCTATATAAAACCTTCATAATTAATTTTCTCAAGTGATACAAAAAATGTTAAATAATTTAGTTTTTCCAAATTGATTTTCATTTAGATCTAATTTGTATACATTAATTCTGTTTTTTAAAAAAGAACAAAAAAGTGTGAGAATTATTTTCATTGACGTCAAAAATATGTGACGTCATTGATTAGACGCGTCATAGAAATAGTTCTATGGGGCGCGTAATCTCGCTTGGGCGAGATTTGGTAAGTTGACATGCGCATTGCCTGTTTTGCCCAGTGTATCCGGTTCCTGTCTGAATTTTTTTTTAATCAACAGTCTGTGGGTGACAATTTCAGTTACGCTCCTGTGTTACCGGAAAAGAGCTTTGCTCAACCACCGCGCTTCGCGCGATGCTGTAGAGCTTCGCTCTATATTAGATACCGAATCATGGCGAGACTGATAGACCAATGGTAAGTGACAATTTACTCTCTGAAGGGTGTCATCTACTATGTACCGGGGTCATTAGTTCTGTGAGATACAAGGAAGCTGAATCATGGCGAGACTAATCAACAAGAGATCAGATTCTAAATCTGATATCCGAGTTTGGCAGCTTAGGAAAGTAGTGAAGTTGCAACTGAAAGTGTTAGTACCTTTTGGATCTGATAAAAGATATTGGATTTGACTGAGAATAAAGTTATTCACCCGACACTATAAAACTCTCCTTACCATCTGGTCTTTGTCTTTTAACAGGAAATTTCTTGGGTAGATGAACAATTTTTTCTTTTCCAACTACAGGTGTTTTATCAGGTAATTGTACTTCTTTTAATCCTATATTAGATCTAACTCTATAATTACGATCCCAGATACTCAACATATGCAGGGATTCAGCTTTCTTCTTCATATATTTAGGCTACAAAAAAAGAGGATTTATAAGAAGAGAGATACGGAGGTGTTCAAGTAAAATACATGTGTATTCAATGCCAGCGTAAAGTGGACCTTAAAATCTTGTGATATACAGTAAACCTCACATAAGTCGGATTCGTATAAGCCAGATCTTTGATCAACTCAGCTAAAATTGTTTAGACCCTTTGATCTTGCGCGTTTCTTACTAAATTTCTGCGTGCAAGTCGGATTTCTGAAGTCAGATCTACGCTCAACTCGAATCAAATTGTTTGGTCCATTTGATCTAATTCCAGCTTTTTTTCTTTGCTTAAGTCGGATCGGCAGTATGTTCAGAATTTGACTAAGTTAAGCTAGTTTCGTACTGATGGTCTAAAACGCGGTTAGGTATTCCATGCACAAAGCCCCAAAATACTTTCCTATCATTTTGACTCAAATCAGCCTATTTGACGCGACGCAATAATAGAATTTTCCCGGAAAATTTGAAACTCCCTGTCTGCTGTAGGAAAATACTTTCCGATTTTCATGAAATTCAACAGTGATATATTCGAACGGATTTTGAAACCACAAGTTAAAAAAGTATAATCAGGGGCCATAATTCAGGAAGTTACGATCTGATATACGCAAATATTGAAAGGAACAAGATCTTAGGGTTATAAACATGTATTTCAAGTTTGATCAAAATCAGATGAAAATTGTGACCTCTAGACACTATAACCTGGCACATCCCCGGTGTGTTGCCGACAGGGTATAAAAAAAAGTACACAGGTATTGAACATTATCTAGGGAAAGTACACCCATTAGGCATGAAAATTATCAAAAAATGAAAATCACCTATAGAGGGCTTTTTCCATGGAGAGCCAATAACTATTGGCTAGTACATGAAACACCCTCATAATTTTGGTCGCATTTGAGAGACATGAAGTTTTCAAGGCAAAACATGTTAAATGATCAATTTTTTCAACTGTAATTATATTAGGTCATTTATACGACCATTTCTTTCAACAATTCTGACATCATGCACAAAAAGTCACTCATTCAATTTCGTAAACATTTTGATATGGTTCAGGCATTTGTCTCTCCACTTGTAAATTGGACACTCATTATCAAAATTGAATGGTCAGCTTTAAACTGGACATAAGTACAAATTAGATGAATTTTGGTGATTTTAAACGATTTTTACGAATTTTTAAACAAAGATTTGATATTAAACAAATGTGACAGAAATTAGTGCTAGATACACAAGATTAAATGATACCTGGATTACAGTGAGAGTGTCCACAAGCTAAAAACATGATTTTTCGTACAATCAGGGGCCATGATCCATGAATTTTCAATCCGATACATGCCACAAACGAGTATAGAGTATCCACAAACAATTGTGGATGGACGTCTGGACTGATGGGCGATGACAATATACGTCCACATGACAATATGGGCATATAAAAATGACTATATTTTCCATTGCATTAACATGGGCTTGTGTAGAATTCTAAACTCTCGCCTATAAACTGTAAAATTATAAAACAAGTGTTTTGTTTACATAAAGCATGTATTAGCGAATATTCCCACTTTTCTTTTGATCTTTAAAATACATTATATTATATGTTAAATAAGCTACTCAGCGATGTATACAAATATAATGGTTCACCAAATAGTATTCTCATGACCTTAACTCACCCCCAGTAATACAGATACATACAGTAAATGAATGAAAACAATTTGATAGTTAACAATTGGGCGCTATTGCACTTTCGTACCTCTACCAGTTCCTGTGGTCGTAGGAACTTGAAATTATTAGAGGATGTTACGTGGGACTAGCAATGACCACACACCAAATTTCAGCCGAATCGATCAATAACTTTTTATTTTACCGACCTTTTAATTTCTAACGAGAGAGAACTTTATCTGTTTGACGCCATTTGCTTTGTTTACTATTTAGACTCGAATAACAAGACACTAAGACGGAAACCGACACACTGCACTAGCTGCCTATCTCTGCAGTTCATAAAAATTAATATAATTTTCGTGTACTTTAATTTTTGCGCGAAGCCACCATGTTCTATAAAATACTATTTGGTGTTGATCAGTGGATTGGCCTTTAGGTGTGAATATTGCTGTGACCTTGATTTTGACCTTGAGTCTTAACTTCCCATCCATATCAGGGCCTTTGCGTTTATGATTGCCGTGGCCTTATTTCTTACTGTATTTTCAAAGTTAATGTTCGAGGTGAAAGCAGAGACGACGTCCTTCGGAAAAGATGATTGGGTCAAAGTCGTAGGTCAAGGTCATGTTACAGAAAACTAAACTCAAACTTTTCAAAGTCATTTTTTGGACATTTGACCTTGACTTACGACCTTGACCCCGTAACCATTTTCGAAGGCTATCACCATGGCTTGAATCATGGACGTTTACCTTGGTTCTGTCACACACTGCTCGGTCAGAAAAGGGCCCGAGATTGATGGGAAGTTTGGACTCAAGGTCGAAGTCAAGGTCACGGATGGTTAAAGGTGACTAGTGGAGGTCACCACGAACTTTCACATTGACCACGCCCTTTGACGTCCTTTCGGACACGGGACCCTCTGCGTTTGACCGTTTTCTGACCGAGCAGTGTGCGACAGGGCCAGGGTAAACGATGGTTCAAGCCAAGATTATGGGCTTTGAAAATGGTTATGGGATCAAGGTTGTAAGTCAAGGTCAAATGTCCCAAAACTGACTTTGAAAAGTTTGAGTTCAGTTTTCTGTAACATGACCTTGACCTACGACTTTGACCCATTTATCTTTTCTGAAGGACGTTGTCTCTGCTTTCACCTCAAGCATTAACTTTGATAATACAGTAAGAAATAGGGTCACGGCAAGCATAAACGAAAAGGGCCCGAGATGGATGGGAAGTTTGGACTCAAGGTCACGGATGGTTAAAGGTGACTAGTGGAGGTCACCACGAACTTTCACATTGACCACGCCCTTGACTTCCTTTCGGGCACGGGCCCCTCTGCGTTTGACCGTTTTCTGATCGAGCAGTGTGCGACAGGACCAAGGTAAACGCCCATGATTCAAGCCAAGTTGATAGCCTTCGAAATGGTTACGGGGTCAAGGTCGTAAGTCAAGGTCAAATGTCCCAAAACTGACTTTGAAAGTTTGAGTTTAGTTTTCTGTAACATGACCTTGACTTTGACCTTTTAACTTTTCTGAAGGACGTTGTCTCTGCTTTCACCTCAAGCATTAACTTTGATAATACAGTAAGAAATAGGGTCACGGCAAGCATAAACGAAAAGGGCCTGAGATGGATAGGAAGTTTGGACTCAAGGTCAAAGTCAAGGTCACGGATGGTTAAAGGTGACTAGTGGAGGTCACCACGCCCATTGACTTCCTTTCGGACACGGGCCCTTTGCGTTTGACCCTTTTCTGACCGAACAGTGTGCGACAGGACCAAAGTAAACGTCGATGGTTCAAGTCAAGGTGATAGCCTTCGAAAATGGTTACGAGGTCAAGGTCGTAAGTCAAGGTCAAATGTCCCAAAACTGACTTTGAAAAGTCTGAGTTTAGTTTTCTGTAAGATGACCTTGACCTACGACTTTGACCCAATTATCTTTTCTGGAGGACGTCGTCTCTGCTTTCACCTCGAACATTAACTTTGATAATACAGTAAGAAATAAGGCCACGGCAAGCATAAACGCAAAGGGCCCGAGATGGATGGGACGTTTGGACTCAAGGTCAGAGTCAAGGTTACGGATGGTTAACGGTGACTAGTGGAGGTCACCACGTCCTTTCACATTGACCACGCCCATTGACTTCCTTTCGGACACCGACCCTCTGCGTTTGACCGTTTTCTGACCGAGCAGTGTGAGATAGGACCAAGGTAAACGTTCATGATTCAAGCCAATGTGATAGCCTTAGAAAATAGTTACAGGGTCAAGGTCGTAAGTCAAGGTCAAATGTCCAAAAAATGACTTTGAAAAGTTTGAGTTTAGTTTTCTGTAACATGACCTTGACCTACGACTTTAACCCAATTATCTTTTCTGAAGGACGTCATCTCTGCTTTCACCTCGAACATTAACTTTGATAATACAGTAGGAAATAAGGCCACGGCAAGCATAAACGCAAAGGCCCCGATATGGATGGGAAGTTTGGCCTCAAGGTCAAAATCAAGGTCACGGCAATATTTACACCCAAGGGCCAATCCACTGATCAACACCAAATAGTATTTTATAGAAAATGGTGGCTTCGCGCAAAAATTAAAGTATACGAAAATTATATTAATTTTTATGAACTGCAGTGTTAGGCAGCTAGTGCAGTGTGTCGGTTTCCGTCTAAGTGTCTTGTTATTCGAGTCGGTTTCCGTCTTAGTGTCTTGTTATTCAAGTCTAATTAGTAAACAAAGCAAATGGCGTCAAACGGATGAAGTTCTCTCTCGTTAGAAATTAAAAGGTCGGTAAAATAAAAAGTTATTTATCGATTCGGCTGAAATTTGGTGCGTGGTCATTGCTAGCCCCCCTTAACATCCTCTGAAAATTTCAAGTGCCTACGACCACGGGAACTGGTAGAGGTACGAAAGTGCAATAGCGCCAACAATTGTATGTTATATTAACAAAGAATGTATGCTATATTGTCAAAATATCAAGGTGTATTAATAAAGCTTTAAAACTAAATGTGAAACACAGTTCGTGGTTGATAGTAGGGGTCTCGCCTGTTAACAATAATTACATCCCACTTCTACTCGTTGCCACTGGCAACCTTTGATAAAACTGTCCTGTTTAATTGCAATACATGCTTAAAAGTATCCGTGTATCAGAAATGTACAGAAAGAGTACTGATCATTTCTGATACACGGATACTTTTATGCCGTTTTAGATCTCTATCAAGCAATAAGTAGCGGACGTTTAGTCCGACCCAGATCGCAATTGATAACGAGGCTCTAACCAATGTACATGAAACAACTAGTCAAAATCATAGTAACAAAACAAAATGGGGGGAACTACATGGCAGTTCAAAAACATATACAATGACATT